AGCCTTAAACCAAAGCCCTAAGCCGCAAATTATTTACCGTGAGAACCACGGACGTTTTTGGCTTAGGGGCTATGTGATCTCCTTGACGGGCATAGTTCAACGCATGAGGCCTTCTCGCTGTCAGCCTAGCCCCCAAGCCCTCAAAGCCTGAACCCTAAACCCTAACCCCTAAACCCTAAACCCTAAACCCTAAACCCTAACCCCTAAACCCTAACCCCTAAACCCTAAACCCTAACCCCTAAACCCTAACCCCTAAACCCTAAACCCTAAACCCATCCCTCAAAGCCTAAAGCCTTAAAGCCCCAAACCCTAGGCCCAGAACCCCAAAGTCCCAAAGCTCTCAAGCCCGAAAGCCCCTAGAACCCAAAACCCTAGGCCCAGAACCCCCAAAGTCCCAAAGCTCTAAAGCCCGAAAGCCCCTAGAACCCAAAACCCTAGGCCCAAAACGCCAAAGTCCCAACGCTCTAAACCTTAAAACCCGAAAGCCCTAGGACCCCAAACCCCGAAAGCCCAAAACTTACCTGTGGTTAGTAGGGAACGGAGGAATGGGGTACAATTATGACTACTATCACTACCATTCTTCCATTCCCTACTAAACGAAGGTAAGGTTAGGGTCTAGGACTTTAGGGACTTTAGGGTTAGGGGTTAGGGTTTAAGGAGGTTTAGGGTTAGAGTCTAGGGGTTTAGGGGCTTTAGGGTGAGGGATTAGGGTTCAAGCTTTAGGGTAAAGGTAAGTTTTTGGGTACCCTAAAGCCTTAAAGCCCCAAACCCAAGGCCCAGAACCCCAAAGTCCCCAAGCTCTAAAGAACCCTAATGCCCTAGAACCCCAACCCCAAAGCCCTAATCCTTTAAGTAGACCCTAAACCCTAAACCCTATAGATCCCCTTAAGGAACCCTCTAGATCCCTTTAAGGAGCCCTTTAAGGAACCCTAGTTTCTAAACCATACAAACCCAGGTTTGAGACTTTAGAGTCTCGGCCCGCAGGCCCCCGAAACCCACCCAAAAGCCGTAAAGTAAAAGCCAGAAAGTTGGAGTATGAGGGGAAAAAGGAGGGACCCTTAATGGGGACCCCTACCCTATAATGGGCCATATAATGGGTATAGAATAGCTCTATTAAGGGTATAAAGTAAAAGCCAGAAAGTTGGAATATCCTCTTTAAGGTACCCTTAAGATCCCTTTAAAGGAACCCTTATAGATTTTTTTATATCATAAGGCATAGTGAGTCTAGAAAGTTGGAATATGATTATCCGAAACCCTTTATGGTACATTATAGGGTATCCTACCCTGAAACCATATTCCAACTTTCTGGAGTTCCCTGTAGAGCTCTGAGCTTGCGCCGGATCAAAGGGGAAAAGGAGGGACCCTTAATGGGGACCCCTGGGACCCTATAGTGGGCTATATAATGGGTTATATACTAGCTATATTAAGGGTATAGACCTAGGGGTCCTTTTTGAGGGTTTTCTTCTTTTACCGTTGGACCTGAGGTTTCCCTGCCGGGTGAAAGCGTATGCTCTCCCGGGCCAGGCTGGCTTTTCGGGGTCCAGGTGGGTTCTTTCAGGGGCTTGGGGCTAAGGGTTTAGGGTATAGGGTCTGCGGCTTGGCTGATGGTTTGCGGGTTTCTTTTATGGGATTTTGGCCTTTAGAGTCTAGTTTGTTTGGAGTTTAGGGAAGGATTCTTTAGGGTGTTTCTACAGGGTTTGCGCGCTTTTGACTTCAGAGTTGGGTGCAAGGGTTACTTGGAGGATCGTGGGACTTAGTAAGTAAGCTTATAAGTACCTTAAGTGGGGATATAAGTGGTTATAAGCACAGTTACCTTAATCATAACCCTAGTTACTAAGTCCCATGATCCTTTAAGTAGAGGTTCCGGCTTTTTAGGTTTTGGGTTGGCTGGTTTGATGTTGAAAGGGCCCTGAACCCTAAACCTTGAAGCTTCACCCCACCTTCAGCCCTCCCATCCTAAAGCCCTGTAAGCCCTTAAACCCTAAGCCCTAAACCCTAAACCCTTAAACCCTATACCCTAAACCGCAGTCTTTTGGGGGTGAGTGTTTCATAAAATCTTCGGGAGCTGCTCTCTGAGCTCTCCGGCCTAAAGCCTAGGCCTTGAACCGATGGAGAGGGTCCGAAAAGAAGAAGAAAATTATAGAATAAGAAGTTGAAAATGATCAGAATAGGGTTTTGGGGTATGCTCTACTATAGCTATACTACGGGGCCCCCCAACAATGGTAGAGCTAATTATTTATGAAGAAGCGACGCAACGAGCAGGGCTCGAGGCGCGGATCTTGCGAGCCGCATTTCGGATCAATATAGGAGCCTCAGTTGGCAACGCTATAGCAGCTGGGTTGTCCTTTGGGATCTTTTTTAATTTCCCCTACTATTTTGTAGAGAACCATAATAGTAAATAATTTTCAAAGGGTTTAAAGGACAACTCAGGCAGTTTAGGGTTTAGAGTTGCAGTGCTATTACTCCTGTAGAACCCGATGTACAAGCAGTGTAATTCATTGGGCCAGCTGTAGCAGCAGCAGCAGCGGAAGCTGCAGCACCGACACACTAAGCCCCTGCCACCACTGCCACAAAGACCAGCTTCACTTGCGCTGACTGCTATCATTGCAACTATTTCGTTTCACCGCTTCTCGTAGGGCTCCAACTTGAATCGAACCCTGATGCAGGCCTTATCGGGATCATGTGAGTCATGGTAGTTCAAGGCAGAACGGACATATCACCGAAAGCTTTCCAGAGGCCCGGCCAGCAAAGGATTTGCCGCCGAGCCATGGATGGGCATTATGGATCATACCCTAAGCCCTAAACATTACTCTCTAAACCCTAATCCCTAAACCCTGCAATCCCCAAACCCTAAACCCTGATAATCCCTAAACCCTAATAATCCCTAAACCCTATAAACCCTAAACCCTAGTAATCCCTAAGCCCTAATTCCAAACCATGAACCCAAAGACTTCAGCACTTCACATCCATCAGCCCTAAACTCTTCACATCTATCAGCCCTAAACTCGAAGCTCGACCCCAACAATCCTTACAGGGAACTCCAGAAAGTTGGAGTATGGTTTCAGGGTAGGATACCCTATAATTTGCCATAAACGGTTTAGGATAATCATATTCCAACTATCTGGCTTTACCTCAGTTTCTTAATCCCCTCGCCGCCAAGCCCTAGGCTTTAAACCGTCTGGAGTGCTTGGAGGCATTGGAGCGTACCCCGGGATCCTCAATTTTTTTCGGCAGCCTTTAGGGTAGTTGTTTTGAAATTCTTGTCGTCGGTAGCAGGTGGACCTACTACCACCACGGAATACTGTTACTGACTTGGACATCAACGACTGCATGAGGCCTGTCCACACGAGCTGGTCAGTGTGGACAGAACATGCTGACCTGCTTCGGCATGCGTGCCGGTGTCTACACAGAGGGTCTCGTCACAACCTACTTACCTGGACTGAACTTTCAACCTTGAACCCTAAACCCTGATCCCGAAAACTCCTAAACTCTACATACCCTTAAAAGAACCCCTATAGATCCCTTGACAGGAACCCTTCTGAATCCCTTTAAAGGAACCCTGAACCTTAAACCCTGAACCCTAAAGCCCCTAAACTCTAAATACCCTTCAAGGAACCCTTACAGATCTCTAAACCCTGAACCCTAAAACCCCTAAACTCTAAATACCCTCAAAGGAACCCATCCAGCACTGGGTGCACACGTAGGCCAGCCACAGCTGGGCCTGAAATCCACAAGAACCCCTGGTGGGAGCATCCAAAACCCTTTCGTGGGCCCCAGCAGGCAGATCCCAGGCGGTTAAAGGCCCCTTACGGAGATGGTGTGGCATATATGGAACACCGGCTTGCAGCTTGGGAGTTTCATTGGAGGCACAAAGCCACCACAGCGAGGAACCAAGTACTGCCAACGGCACGTCCTCGCGGGGCTGCCAGACGATGCTGCGACACTTCCAGAACTAGAGAAGCACCGCGATGATGAGCGCACTGGCAAACTTGTCCTCCAGTTGCAGCTCGGGGATGGTTCCTGGGTTGAACCAGTGTGTGGGATTGCGTGGGTACCAGTGCCACTTCCACTGCCGCTGATGGCAGCTGTAGCAGAGATCCATGACGAGGGACGCCCGAGCCGCTGGCGAGTCCAAAATCTGGTGACGGTCGGCCCGTGTCTTCACATTGTGGACATCGTGCCCATGCACTCGTCCGAATCCCTCACACAGGTCGTCATGTTCGTCCGGGCTATCCTCCAGCTCTTGAAAGAATTGCCGAACTGCTGTTGCACGTTGCCTGGTTGTGTGTTGTGGCCTCGAAATTGTCCGTTTTGAAGCGGAGTGGGGCTTGAAATGTCGAGACTGCCACGCGTTTGTGCGTTGGCTTCATGCATGCAGGTTTGCCAAGATGTGGAAGAGGCGGAAAAGACCCAGATCTTCAGCCAAGTCCTTTCAGGGCTGGGTGCCGAAGAAGAGCATTGCCGTGCCTCGGCAAGCGGGGCGTGAGGTTTTCTCCTAGAAATTTTCAATTTATGATGACAGGGCCTCATCCTCCAACTTCTACGAAGGGAACAGAATCTCCTGCAGTGCTGCCTGGCTGCAAGACAAACATGTCTGCGCGACTGTCCCGATAACTTTGAACATTGTGCACGCGAAGTGAGGTGACCGGACTCATCCACCAATACTCGGAAGAGTTCGAACCGGCGGTGGCACTAGCGAAGATGAAGTCTGGGAAGCAATGGCCCAGACCAGAATATCTGAACCCCGTCCATCAGTTTGCTGTCTATCGCAGCCATGCTTCAGGGGCTGGACTTCAGGTACCAGGCAGACCTGGTACATCTTCTCCGGGAGAGTGTTCCGAATATGTCGGAGATCTGCCGTCTTCTTGCTTTGAGCAAGGATGACTTGAATGGCTGGGGCGAGATTGTCAGTGCATTGGCTATGTCAGACAATGAAATCATGCTATTCTGGGAAAACAAACGGGACAACTGCCGCCACTTCCGGTACTTGGATGCATGCGATGCTGGACCACATGCTGAATGGCTACAAGATCAAAGCCGGACCTATGGAAGGAGAGATGAATGCAGTCATTCTGTTTCTGTCTGGTCTGGAGAATGTTGAGGTGTACCGAACAGAATGGTGCATCTGTGCTCCCGAGGAAGATTTGGCAGGGTCTATCGACCTGGTTCTCAAAGACAAGGGCACCGATTTTTTTCATCTCGTCGATTGGAAACGGAGTGAGAAGCTGCAGGACAAGTACAACAGTTATGGCAAGAAAATGGCTCCTCCTATCCAGGATGTAGATGACTGCCAAGGACAGCATTATCGGTTGCAACTCAACATCTACAAATGGATCTTAGAGAACTACTATGACATCAAGGTGCAGCAGATGAAAGTCGTATGTGTACCTCCACGTTATCTTCCACATGGACTCGTTGACATTGTTCCGGATATGCAAACTACTGTTGCCAAGATGATGCAATGCTGTCGGGACAAGAAAGCTGCCATCTTCATGCAAAAGGGTGAAGGTGAGCTTGGTCCTAGCCAGGCCAACGACGCTCAGGGTCATGCTGATGGACGTGAGAACCTGCCATCCAGACAGGATAGTCAAGGCAAGATTCCAGACACATTACCCTTTGAAGTCATGCTTACAGGTCCCCCCAACCAAAGATGAAATGGAGATTGCCCTGGAAGAGCTCATGTTGGAGGAAGAGGACAAAACTACACATGACATAGCCAATAAAAGGAGATTGATGCCTGGAGCCAACACTCATGCTCTGGATTGCAAAAACATGTTTGCGAGATCCTTGGACATTATCAAGAATACCCTTGATACCTACGGAGCAGATGTCTGTCTGCAAACTTTGGGGGCGGGGAAGTGCTGGCATTGAAGTTAGCAGTTTCACTGAACAGAGTTCATTCCCCAGCACTTCCTCCCTGACCTTGCGCACTGAGCCAGGATGCCACTGCATTGCCAAAAACTCCCTAACACTCCCCACTACTGATTAATCCCTAAGGCTCCTGAGCTTCCCACTTTTGGCAACGACACGTCCCGACACTACCCATCCAAGCACTGGCTTTTGCCACCAGGAAGCCATAAGTCCGCGCAAGCGCCCACCCACCCACCCACCCACCCGCCCGCCCACCCACCCACCCACCCACCCACCCACCCACCCCATCATTTCTATCATCTCCATCATCTCCAGCATCATCTCCATCATCTCCATCATCTTTATCATCTGTATCATCTTCATCATCCTCATCATCTTCATCATCTCTTTCATCCCCATCATCTCTTTCATCTTTATCTTCTTCATCATCTTCTTCGTCGTAGTCATAACCTTCAACATAATCATCATCTTTTAATCTTGTCATCTTCATGAACTAGGCACCAACAACAAATGCAAGGCTCAACGACGGGGTGGATCCACATTGGACTGATCCCGAGGCCGGAGCGCACATGCTGTTTCACTTCAGTCAATTGCACTGCATAAACAGCATGCTGCATCTTGCATGTCTTGTCTGCCAGTGATTAAGTAATGCCATGCGCTGTAAGAGAGTATGTATGGAAAGTAAGGATGAACGTGCCATTCCTGGTGTCGGTCTATCAGCCTTCATTTTTCGCCCTGTCGCTGCAACCGCCTTATACTTGTCAGATCATGGTGCGAGCCGCCAAGACGAGCGTGGGAGTGCAAAGGCAATCCTTGCGGGGACTCCGTAAGGATTACCACAAGCGAGAGGCAGATCTCCGGAACCTCGTCAAACCCAGGAAGAGCGCCATGACGAACATTCGTGCGGATATCATCAAGCTGGAGAAGGAGATCAAGGAGGCGAACGAGGAACTGTCCGTGGACTTCGACTCAGGTTCGAGCTTGTTCCCAAGCTCGGACTCTGTCCGCGGACGGCTCGTCGGAGGAGTGTGCGGCCTCGGCCCTGAAGGGGAAACGCAGCGAAGAGCCAGGGTAAGAAAGGCCAACGCCGCAAGAGACGGCCTTCTTGGCTCCGGGCGCACCGGCTCCGGACCACCAGGGGTGGCCCAACTCCGAAGGAGTGGACTACCCGGGCTTCGTCGTAGACGACCCGCGGCACTGCCCGGCCCATATCAGATGTATGTACTCGTAGATATGAACACATTCAGACCCTCTGTTGTACCGATCTTGGTATGGGGTCCATTGTCCGGATGAATTCCTCGGTGCCTCGGCCCGAAATCTGTCCAGTGGTAGAGCGTGGACGTTTCACGTTTCGCTCACTCTGCTCGCTCGCGGACTCCGCTATATCGATCCGTCTTCCGTTCTGTTTATGATTTCTCCATGTTGCATACCGTATTGTGATGTATTTGTTTTATCGGTGATGCACTCATTTTCACTTGAGCATGCGAAAGACATGTTGATTACCCGCAGGCGTTCTTCAGAGTCACAAAAGATTTTCATGGTAGCGGAGCGCTGGGAAAGCCCGGTGCCCGAGACACGTGGGTTGAGCTTTCGGTTTCTTGCTTTGCGGGATCCCCCAAGCTCAGGCTGTGAAAGCTTCTCTGGAGTTCAGGGTCCTTTCGGTGAAATCTAGTAAGCGCGGCGGGTAGCTGCAGACACCGCTGCCGAGCGGTCGCCATATCGTGCTACAACGGCCACCTGTGAAGGCCTTGCGTTGCTCAAAGAGCGGCTGCATTCGTATTACGTTGAGCAGCTGTGTGAACGTCCTAGGCCAGCCGGCCGTTCAGGAACTTCTTGGGATAACATCCTTAGCACCTATAGGGTAAGCTTTGAGAATCACCTTGAAAGTTTGGAAACCATTGAATCTGTGTGGCATTTCGCCGAAAAGTGCTTGAAGAAGGAGCATTTAAAGGAAGCCTTCAGATATTTTGGTTTTGAGGACGTATTTAACAGTGCTATACCGCAAGCCGTGCAAGCAGCGATTGTGCTTCCTGAGGAAGAGTGTGAGCGTGACATTGCATTTCAGGACTGCAGAATAGGAGTGTTTGAGCAAGCCTTGATACCAGGGAGTGCATCGATTGATCTGCAAGATTCTTCCTTTGACTGTGCCTTGCAGCATTCAGAAGAGCCGATTGATCTTGATTGAGCATTGCTGTCTGAACAATGGCAAGTGGAAGTGCAGGTGTTGGAACAGGTGCAGGTTTGGATGATGATGACCCCGAGCTTGCTGAGGGCCCTCAAGCCCCGCAGGCTCCAGGGAACCCGTTTAGCCCGACAGGTGGTGGAGCAGGGATGCTGAGTATCAGCCAAAGCGATCTTGTGCTGATGATGAGACAGATGATGGAAGCAACAACAGCGGCGAGTACAGCCGCGCAAGCAGCGCTGGCCACAGCAACCAAGGAGCGCAAATCAGGTCTGGGTGGAGGCGACATGTCCCGTCTGTTGCCGAAGCCAGATGTGTTTAAGCCTGCAACGCGTGAAGCTGAACACGGCGAATGGTCGTCGTGGCTGTGGAGCTTGAAGCAGTATCTTAGTGCTTTAGATCCGGCTTTCACTGATGATTTGAGCTACATTGAGCATAACCCCACCAAGGACATGACAGGGGAAGCCTATGCGAGCGTTGAATCAGAGCAGAGGTCCAAGCAGCTGTTCGCTTTGCTTGCGAGCCTTGTGAAAGGCCGTGGTCTTCAGCTGATTCAGAGGGTTGCAGTGCAGAATGGGTTTGAAGCATTGCGCCAGCTTGTGCAGCTTTACCAGCCTGCTTCGAAGACTAGATCGCTTGGAATCTTGAGTGCCTTGACGAGCATGAGCCACTTTCGTGCTAACGAGCCGTTGCTCCCGCAAGTTCTTGATATGGAAAGGATCATTGACGAGTACGAGCGCAGCAGCGCCAAGAAGCTCGATGACGATTTCAAATCAAGCATTTTCTTGAGGTCAGTTAGCAACAACATGAGGAACCACCTTGCAACGGTGTTGACAGAAGATGTGACCTATGATACCTTGAGGGAAACAGCTTTGCATTTTGAGCGCATGAATACTAAGTGGGATTCTAAGAATCTTTTTGCAGGGGACAGTCTGTTTTCCAAAAGCCGTGCATCGAATGATGGTCCAGTGCCTATGGAAGTGGATGCGCTTCAGAAAAAGGGCAAGAAAGGTGATAAAGGCAAGTGTGGCAAGGGCGGCAACCAGCAGCCCAAAGGAAAAGGCGGCAAAGGTGACAAAGGCAAAGGCAAGGGTGGCAAGCAGCCCGAAGGAAAAGGCAGCAAAGGTGACAAAGGCAAAGGCAAGGGTGGCAAGACAGGCAAGCCATCAGGCAACAAGCAGAATGTTGTGTGTCACTCGTGCGGCAAGAAGGGTCACTATCAAAGCGAGTGCTGGTACCGTGTCCAGCAAGTCCAGAATGCAGGTAGTGATGCAGCCAGCACAGTTGCGCCTAGCACCGTTGGTCCGTCTGCCTCGCAAGTTCAAGGTCCGAGTGCTGCCAAGAATGTGAATCGTGTGCAGCTTGAGTCGTCAGTGGGATTGACATGACCGAGGAAGAGTTGTCCATCCAATATTTTGACGTGCCTGCAAGTGTTCGAGCAGTCAGGTGCGCAGGTGCCGACGAGGAAAGATGTGGTGGAAGCCATGCAGCCCAGGGTTTGTTGGACTTTGGTGACCTCGTGAAGGTCCTAGCCCTTAACCCGCACGGGTACCCTAAGCTTCCCAATCTTCAGCCGGTGACCACAGCTGTGTGCCATGACCTAGCATGCACAGATGGGGATGGAGAGTGGACAATCTGTCATGGCGAATCTCTTGATTTGCAATGTGCTGCACCCGACAACGCCAGAAAGCCTTGCCCTGTCGAGTTGCCTGACCGTGCAGAGGCCATCGAGGCCTTGGATGCAGCCACAGCAGCCAGAAGTTTGTGTGCCGTGCAGCGTTCCAGCGGCGCGGCAGCGCACGCCGAACCGGTTGACATCGAGGTTGTTGTGGACTCAGGGTCCGATGCTTCTTGCTTGCCGATGAGTTGGGGAACGATCGGGCAATCCGGCGGTGCCGACTCCCAGTGGTACCGCGATGCCCAAGGAAACCGCATATCAGGCCGAGAGATGCGCACGGCCACGATCGAGATTGCTGGGGTAAAGTTCCGTGAGCATTGGCTGCTTTCGAGCGTTACCCAGCCTCTCTTTTGTGTTGGCAAGCTGATGAAGCGAAACGGTTGGGACATCATCCATGATGCTGACAGGGTTCCACACCTCACGAGCCCTGATGCTAGAGTCCGCGTCCCACTGTTTTACAAGAACTACAGCTTGCATGCAAAAGGTTTCATCCGAGGAGTCACGGCCTCCGAGGCCGATGGTCAGCCAGGCATCAGAGCACTTGAGATTTCAGGCCCATGGCTTGAGTTGTCTGAGGAATTTCATGAAGTTGCTCCTCTTGTGTATGCCCGGCGGGACTTCAGCGATTGCTTCGTTGATTGTTCAGTGGCATTGTCAGTGCCTCACCTGAGCCTTGGAGTGCAGTACCGCACGACGCTTGTGCAGGACGGTTCGAATTGGAATGTCATCGAGTTGAATCAGGATCTGTCTTTGCTTGAACAGCCCGAAGCTGGGTTTGAGCCGAAGCAAACGCGGCATGTGATCACCATTGCGTCTTGTGACAAGATCGATGTTGATGTGCTGTTCAATCAACCTGCAGTCGGCCCGCCCGAGGCCGAGGATGCAAACATGTCTGATGCAGGGCTTCCTGAGTTCCCTGCTGAGTCCCTTGATGAATTGCTTGAAGATGCGCCGGCCGGAGGGATTGGAGAGGTTGACCCGAGTGAAGCCCCCATCGGTGCCGACGCAAGTGCAGCGCCAGACAACTCAGAGCCCGCCAGAGGCCACATCGTTGTTGATGGAGTTGAGCTGCATGAAGGTTGCAATCTTAAGACATTGCGTGCTGCGTGCAAAGCTCTAGGCATAGGCCAGAGTGGCGGCAAAGCCACGGTGTTGTCGAGGATAGCAAGCCATCTTGACAAGCTTAAGTTGCTGGAGCGTCACCAAGTCCAGCATGATTCGATTGCTTTGCAAAGCGAGCCGCGTCAGCAAGCCCCAGTAGCTTCTCCGACGCCCGAGCAAATCAGATTGCACTGCCTGAATCACATCCCGTACCAGCCATGGTGTGAGCACTGCATCAAGTTCCAGGCCCGTGCTGACAAGCACACACAAGCCAGGCCCGAGACCAGACAGTGCAGCGTGTGTTCATTTGATTATTGCTTTACTGAGAGGCCTGATGGTGAACGCGGGGAAAAGCTTATTTGCTTAATTGCCAAGGATGCCCACACTGGTGCCTGTGCTGCTATCCCTACACCTGCCAAGGGAGGTTCGATAGCTTTTCGTTTTCTAGTTGCCGAGCTTTGCAAGTTCATCAGCTTTTGCGGTCATTCTGAAGTCACCCTGCGATCTGACGGCGAGCCCACTTGCCGAGCGCTGCAACAGGGTGTAAAGGACTTTAGGGATAAGCTTAAGCTTGTTACGCACCTTGAGCAAGTCGAGAAGGACAGCCATGAAGGCAATCCAGCAGAGCAGGCAGTCGAGCAGCTCAGACAATTGACCGGGACACTTTTGTCTCAGGTCGAGCATGAAATGGGCCAGAAAATTTCAACGATGTCCCCGGTCCACGCGTGGGCTTGGAAGTATGCAGCAGGGTTGCACACCAGGTATGCGCGGACTGAAGCGCACAGCCCCTTCGAGATCATCACCGGCAGACCATATCTTGGCAAGCTAGTGAATTTCTGCGAAGTTGTGTATGCAAGAGTGAAGTCTTCAATCAAAGGTAAAGCCCGTTGGGTCAAGATGATTTCGCTTGGAAAGCTTGGAATTTCAGATCTGCATTTTGGGGCCACGCAAGGAGGTTTTCTGATTTCCAGCCGGAGTGTGCGGCGATTGCCTAAGCAATTTGACGCGAATTTTCTTGAGTACGTTCACGACATGCCTTGGACACAAGCCTCGTTCCTGGCGGGGCAGTCAGGGCAGTCGAGGCTCCAGAAGTCGATTGCAGGCAAGAGTGAGGAGGCCAGCGACCAAGCCAAGTTGCCAGAAGTCGTTGCCAATGATGGGCCGAGGCCCATGCTGCGTCCAGAGCCTCTTGTGCCAGATGATACTGCTTTGTCTGCATTTCTTCCGCCACCTCCATTGCTGATTTCGCCAGAGCCTCCGACCCCTTTGCGAGTGAACCCCTCGCTTGGCCGAGCTACTGAGCCTGCCACACCGGCCGATATGCTTCCTGCATTGTCACCTGTTCCGGAGTCTCCAGCGCCTATGCTGGTCGAAGAGAGTGCAAGCGCTGGCGGGGATGCGCCAATACCACCTGCTGCCGCAAGCAGCAGCGATGGATCTGCCAGCACTGGCGGAACAGTTCGCCCGGCACCTGTGCAGGCCGAGCCACCGGCCCGAAAGCGACTGAGGCTAGATGCTGTTCAGACAGATGCAAGCGGAAATCAGTTGTTTCATCAAGATGAAGAGGTTGTCCTTGAAGGTGAGGTAGCCGAAGAATATCTTGAATGTGCTGATGCAGCTGACTGGGTTGAGTATGAAAGTGAAGCCGAGCTTGAAGTGCCATCTTGTTTGATTAGGCCATTTTCTGAAAGTGAACCAATTTGCAGCCCTGCACAACTTGATGAAATAGATGCTGTAGCAGATGCATTTGAGTTTCAGCGGCTGTCTGGAATTGGGGTCATAAGTGAAGTGCCTGATCGACTTGAAGGCCATAGAACGCTTACGACCAAAAGCGTGCGGACATGGAGGCCAAAAGTCTACAAAGGATCGAAAGTTTGGCTGAGGCGTTCGCGCCTCGTGGCGCGGGAGTATGCACACTTAGATCCTGATAGGCCTGGGTTGTTTTGCCCAACAACGAACCAGATTATGCTGCGTGTGATTCCAGCGCTCTTTCTGAGACGCCGTGAGGAAGGCTGGTCGATGCTAGCGCTCGATGTGAGCGATGCTTTTCTCCAGTGCAGCCAGCAGCATCCGACGGTCACCCGCATAGGTGATAAGTGGTTCAAGTTGTGGCGGATGCTCCCCGGACAACGGGACGGAAGTGTGACATGGTACAATGATTTCACGAATGAAATGAAAGTCGCTGTCGGAGTTGAATTGCTTCCCGAAAGCCCCGCATTGTTCAGACTGCCCAGTGGAGCAGGCGGAGGCTATGTGCATGTGGACGACATGCTGGCTGCCGGCCAGACTGAACGGTTGCAGGTTCTTGAAAGTCACTTGAAGTCAAAGTTTAAGGTGTCTAGCGAGTGGCTTGAGCACATAGGAGATCAAGTATCTTTCTTGAAAAGGCGCCACATCCTTGTAAGCCCCACTTTGCTAGTGATAGAGCCTGACATCAAATACCTTGATCGCCTCATGCAAGTCACCGGGTTAGCAAATGCAAAAGAAAGGTACAAAGCAGCTCCGTTTCCGACCGGAGGTCTGCCCACTGAGCTCGCATCTGATCGTGAGTTAGATGCAGCCACTGCCAGCCGGTATCGTTCAGGTGTCGGTATCCTCGCTTATATGTCCTCAGACCTTGTGGCGTGTCAATTTGCGATTAGATACCTGACTACCTATTCTCACTCGCCTACTGAAGGATCATGGAAGTTGTTGCGGCATGTTGCATCGTACATCAATTGCCATCGCAACCATGTGATCGGGCTCTCGAAGCCTGTGTCCGGCAAGGGCCTCGTGTGCGACAGGTCCCGCGAGGAGAATACGACCGTGCTTGAAGTTTGTTCAGACTCCGACTGGAGCGGTTGCAAAAGAACAAGGAAGTCCGTGAGCTCTTGTGCGATTCTCTGGGACAACATGCTGCTATATGCGCATAGCAAAACCCAGAAGACCATCAGCTTGAGCAGTGCAGAATCGGAATACAATTCCCTTGTGTCCGCTGCGGCAGAAGGTATTTTCTTGTCAGCATGCATCCGATTCCTCCTTCCTGATTACACGCTTGAACAGATTTGCCTTGTAGACAACTCGGCATGCCGAGCCCTGGCGTGCCGACAGGGAGTTGGGAAAATGCGCCACATCAGTGGTAAACTTCTTTGGCTTCAGCAGATGACTAAGGACAATGTGCTGTCCGTAGGGCCGATCCCTACAGCTGAAAATGTGTCGGACCTCGGCACAAAGCCGCTGAAGGCAGAGCGGATTGAAAAGCTGCTAGGCATGATTGGAATCAGATGTGCAGACAGCAACTATGGTGTTATCGGGGAGTCCTATCTCCTCTCAGCGAGGGACAAACTGCATGTGTCCAGAGTTGTTAAACAAGGAGCGCTTAGCACCCAGCAAATCATCCAAGTTCTAGCCATGCTTCTCCAAGTTGATCGCGTCGCAAGTGCAGACGATGAGCCCAATACGCAGAATGCCGAGGACGCCTTGAGCCAGGACGACGACAATCTTGGAGTGTTTGCACAGATTCTTGAATGGTTTGTGTACATGTGTTACCTTGTGCGCGATTTTGCACTTGAGTATCCAACTGGGATTATGCTGATCGTACAACTGCTGATCTTGATCATGTTGTGCTGTACACTGCTGAGTCGAAATCGCGTTGCAGTGTTGAGGCAGCAAGCTGACAGTGAGGAAAGCAGTGCGGCAAGCAGCAACACACCCACGCCGAGTGTTGCCGTGCATGTGAAGGTTGAGGGTTCTACGGTTTCGCTAGCTAGTCCCGAACCTGCCGAAAACCCTAAGCTTAGCAAGCCCACTGCAGAAAGTGCCACCAGTGCGTCCAGCAGCGCAGCAGCGCGTGCCGATGATCATGATGCTCCAGACCCCAGTGCAAGCTCTTCGAGTGCCGGTGCGATGCCGAAAGCAACGTCTTTCCCGCCTCCGAGGCACGTTATCGATGAGTGGAGGGCTGAGCAACTTGTATGGGTTACCAAATCCAGAGGCAAGTCATATCATCACAGGCGGACATGTGGAACGCTTGGGAACGCAAAGGCACTTGAAAGGATCAGCAGGCAAGAAGCCATCAATCGAGGATTCAAGAAGTGCAAATGTTGTTACGGCAGTACTTGAAGTAATGCTCATGATGCGCCAATCCATGGGTTCATTGCTTTGGCACTGAGCCGATTGGTTGGATCTTGTACAAAGGCCGCGAAATGACTGTACATAGACTTGTTGAGCAGAACTTGTCTCCACCATTTTGGTGGCAATACCGCATTGACTTACCAACCACTGAGCCAGCTGTGGAGCAGCTGGGAGTCTTCATAGGTAGGCATCGTGCCACCTGATGCATATAGGCATCGCAATCCTTGTGTGCGGATTCCATAGGAATACCAACGTCTTGATGGGGGCAGCTGCGAGCTGCATGAAACCCACTTGAATGTTCCTTGAGTTACTTGTATGCCGAGCGCAAAACTTGAACCTTGGAAGCGCCTTCGCTTGGGTGAGTCAAGCTTATCACTTCGTCGGCTGCTCCTAGCCTTCTGAAGTGGTGTAACTAGTCGTAGTTGTACAGTCCTACGTAGTAGTAGCAGTTGAGCCAACGACCCTTTGAGGCAGAGCTCGAGAACGCGCAAACTTTCTTATGAGTGCAGTCGTGAACTAGTGTATTTGTTTGAGCAACGGAGAATCATAGTACAGAAACCCATGCCAAGGCCATGAGAGTCTGTAGGCGGGGTGTTTATGATTTCTCCATGTTGCATACCGTATTGTGATGTATTTGTTTTATCGGTGATGCACTCATTTTCACTTGAGCATGCGAAAGACATGTTGATTACCCGCAGGCGTTCTTCAGAGTCACAAAAGATTTTCACGTTCACTTTTTGCCTGCAGTCGTCGCGTATCGCGTTCCGTGTTGCTCGAGGCAGTCGCGTTCACTTTTTGCCTACAGTCGTCGCGTATCCTGCTTATCGCAGGTGCGCTTGAGTTGCCCTCATGGGCGCGCCTTGCTCTGCATGAATAACTGCGTGCGCTCCAGAGGTTCTGAGCGACTTTGAAAGGAAAATCTGGCTTTGTTGCAAGGCTCTACATTCGTCAAGGATAAGCCCACGTTTAAAAGTGTGTTCTGTGCGGAAAGGCGCATAGGATGAACTTACGAGGCAAGCTGAAGTCGTGTGCGCATTCCAGTGGGCCATTTACGACCTGTGTGGCGTCGTTCTTAGAGCGCCAGCGTTCGCAGCGGCAGGGGGCCGACTTGCAGGCGCAAAATTGGGTCCTAGACATGCACTTCCACGGCCATATGTGCCGGGAACGAAAGCTCGGCCACCTACAACCCGGACGTAAATAATTATGCGGCCATCCTTCCGTCTCGCACCTCCGCCCGTGTCAGCATGTGTCAGCTCTGCATCTCAGCGCGCCGCCCGGCCCCCCTCCCTGCTGAGGCGCACCCACCATTTCCCGGCATCGACACAGAAACCGCCGAGAAGGTTTCAGCAGCTGCCAACAGATGGCAAGCCAACTTATCCAACGGTCATGGCGTGAGTTTTCTACTACAGCGCCTTTTCGCGCTCCTCAGCACAACTCGCGCAGCTCCTGCAAGCCTGCCGACGAGAAGTACTGTGCTGCTCAGCTAATCCCGACGTCGTCAAGTCCACAGGCCGGTTCACTGCGACGCGGCAAAATACCAACTTGTGACCCCCTAAGCCTTTAAACGCTAAACCCCTAAGCCCTAAACCGTACAAACGCAAAGCCCCGCAAAGCCTTGCAACACCCCAAAACACCACAAACTTTATATAATACTTTCCCTAAAAGCCATCTGACATAGAAGCCTAAATAAGTTCCAATATTATTCGTTAGAGTTCCGGGATATGGTATAGAGATGCCCAAAAGATCCCCAAAGCCCTAGATATTCCAATGTATAAGGCCCCTACATTATACGCTACAACACCTCTCGCCCAGGAACTGTCTTGAAGGTTGCTCCCTCGTCCTAGTGGCAGCAGGCTGCCTCCTCGTTGGGGCTCTCGTGGGGTTCCATGAGGGTTAAAAGATTTCTGTTCGGGTTTGGCATTCGGGGATCTGTACGGTTCGCGCGGGGTCTTGAGGACGTTATGCTTCCGTAGGGTCGTCTTAAAAAGCGGTTTGTGCGGTTTTTGGTTTAGTGTTTCGGGTGAGTGGGGCTTCGTATTTCAGTGTTTAGGCTCTACTGTAGGGTGGTGTGTAGGGCTTAAATGTTGAGCATGCCTTGGGTCTTTAAAGGTTTTGGATTTGTTTGGGGATGATGGGTTTGGGGTTCGCCCACTCGACTACCGAAAATGATCACAAGAAAGAGAAAGAGTGGTCACCCATGGTCACTTTTTTTCGCGGTCTCCGCCTCATAGTGCTATCCTAGTACTTCAGCCCCGGTCTGCTAACCCTCTCGGCCCTGGACCTAATCCATAAACCGTCAGCCCTGAACTTTCCCCACAAGATCTGTCAACCGTTATCGCTACGTCGAAGCCCTTCAGCCCGAGCCCCCAATCCTCTCGGCGTCTGGATCTCACATATGAAGCATCCTCGACTTGCTCCTTGAAATTCGAACTGATGGGGCTCTCTTACATGGAGTGTACATAAAAGCAAAAGAACGATAAGTGAAGTCATGCTTGCTCGAAGAAGATTGAGGTGCCTTTACTTTGAAGCCCTTAAACCCAACAGTCGATTGGGTCACACCCGCTTCACCTCGAAATAAATGGTACTAGTCCCTATGCCATGTACCCTGAGACCCTGAACCCTCAAAGCTGTACAGCCCTAGCTCTTCTCCTACGAAACCGCACGGCACACCTCGCCTCAAATCCGGTTCGGATTCGCGGTATGTCGTAAGTGCCAAGGACTTCGAGACCACAGCATGTGCGGCATTAGCCGGAACAGGCATGGTTCACCGCGTCCGAGAAGGACTCAAATCTCGTGCCACGGGAGGCCCTGCAAATCTTGTGCAAACATAACATACGGCAACCTGCCCAAACCTTGACCCGAAACCTTAGATCCTAAACCCTGAGCCCTAAACCCTAAATCCTATCCCCAAACCTCAACCGTCTCATTCTAGAAGAAAGTGAAGAACCTCGCGCCCTCGAGGCATCCCAAGGCGTCCAAGCCAGAGCAAGCGAGACCTGATGCTGCCCGACTGGGCAGGGATGCAGGGGGTTTTCGGGGCTTTAGGATATCCTTAAATGACACGGCGGCTGCTTTTTGCTGTTGAAAACAGACAGGGCGCTTTCGGGGCTTTGGGATTTAGATGAAAAAATGGCAGAGCGGATGCTTTTTGTTGTTGAAGGCGTCTGCTTCTTGTTGTTGAAGGCGGGTGATTTAGTTATTGAGGGCTCAGGGTCGAGGGTTTAAGGTTCGAGGCCTAGGGTTTAGGCCTTAGAACTTGGAACTGAGAGTCTGAGGTGGCTGATGCGTCCTACTCGTTGATGTTTTCGGAGTTGCTGCCTTTGTTGGCATAGTGATGTTGGTTTCTTTAGTCACGTTTGGCCATCTACACTCAGAGCGCGACGCCTTTGAAACCCCCAAGCCCTAAACCCTGCCTCTGACCCATATATGTATATATATATATATATATATATATATGTATGTATATATATATATATATATATATATTTATTTATTCATTTATTTGTTTGTATGTATGTATGTATGTATGTATGAAGGAACACTAACCAGGCAGGTGTTTCCGGCTACGGGAAGACTCTAGAGCCTCTAGGACCACGCACCCCAGAGGGCAGAGTTGCTTTGAAGAGCTCAGGCACATCAACGGCAACATGTGCAAGATGGTCACTTTGTCATAGTTGGGCAACATTTTACATTTTTAGGGGTACTTAAACCCAAGAGGGAATGGACATTATCATGTTTAATACTAGCCCAACCATGGGCTACGTCAACTGGTGGCTGCAGTAGTGAGTTCAACAATAACATTAAAAGGTAACGGCAAGAAACAGGATGATAAACATAGTCGCATGTAAGAGCTGAAATTGCATGCTAGTCTTTTTATGATGATGTTTGTTGCCATTAGTGTTTTTGTTTCTGGTATTGCTATCTTTGGCAGGGTTCGACCATAAGATTATCCAGTGTCGAGGATTGAGGGTCAGCCTTGTGGGTTGAGGGTTGGAGATTAGGTGTGGTTTCGCGTTTAGGGTTTGTGGCCTACTACTACTACTACTACTACTACTACTACTACTACTACTACTACTACTACTACTACTACTACGACGACTTCCTCGGGGGTCTGTGCGGCTTCTGCAAGGCTTTAGTCGGCTGCTGGATTCTGAGTGGTTTGGGCAGCAGAAAAACTCCGAAACCCCAAACCCCTGAACCTTAAACCGTGAAGCCCTGTAAAATGCATAATACAACACCCTCCAACATCTTTGTAAATACAAATCATCCATGGGTAGCTTCTCTAAATCAAAGTCGCCTTTTCGGTGCCCAGTGCACCCTAATAGAAGGACCATATCCTTCAAGCCACCTAAACCCACCCGTGGATAGCTTTTGACCCTGATTCGCGAGTTCGAGGCTCCACAGCTGCAGCCCCTGAGATTCGAGGTTTAGGGTTTGGGGTTTTGCGATCGTTGAAGTTGCCTCCAGAAAATAGGCGCCTGCCTAGGTGGAACCGACACGTGCAGCCCGCGACTCCAATACCCCTCAACTGAGGGATACTTCCTCGATTGCACCTCAAGCCAAAAACAGCGTCTATAGGGCTTCGTGTCATGATTTGTGAATGATTCATGAATACCTCAGACATGACGGATTCTCTTGAATCTAGGAACATACGGTCAGGTTAAGGGCTTAGTTGGGACTACGGGCTTAGGGTCATACTTACCAACTCCACTCCGAAACTGCTTAAACCCTAAACCCAAATCCCTATTCCTGAATCCTAAACCCTACACCCTGATCCCTAAACCGCAAGCAATGCAGCTACGGAAAGGTCTTCAACAAGAAAACCCAAACACTCCTAAAGACGACAAGCCGGCCGGTTAGTGGACTGTTTGCTCCGAGGTCGTGGAAGCCTGCGCCAAGCGATGCCCCGAGGACCGCCCCAGGATTTGTGTCAGGGTTTAGGTGTGAGGTTTCGGATTTTTGGTTCAGGTTTTATGGAGTTGTGTCAGGGCTAATCTAAAACCCTCAATAATTACCCACAGTCCTCCTTCGGGTTCCCACATACCCCAGAACCCTATGCTAATTCTTAAGGCCCTACTTAAAGGCTCATGGGACTTAGTAAGGTTATAAGTAGGTTATAATTAGGATAACCCCACTTAGGGGACTTATAACCCCAACTATAACTTACTAAGTCCCATGATCCTCTAAGTAGAGTCTATCATAGGGATCCTTAGGGGTGTAGGGGGGAGGGGTGTAGGGGACTATATTTCCTTAAATAGGCCTTATTAGTCCTTATTATGGGCCTTAAGGCCCCCTACCCCCCCTCCCCCTACACCCCTAAGGATCCCTATGAGTCTAGGGTTTATAGTACAGGGATGTTCAAGGTTTCGGAGTTCAGAGATTGTCGATCTAGAGGTCGGGTTTACACCCAGACCTTCCAAAATCCCTTAATTAAGGAATATACCTTAATATATATATATATATATATATATATATATTAAGGATCCTACTATAGTCCTCAATTAAGGGATTTTGGAAGGTCTGGGCAGTTGAAGAGTTGCAAGGGTACGTGTTAGGATTGGAGGTTTGCGTTCAGGTTATGCGTTTGGGGTTTAAGGGCGTATGCGACCTGAGATAGATGGCAGCTCCATCGTCAAATCCCTAAACCGCTAGGAACCCTATAATTTCTGTTCAGTTAAGGGTTATTGAGGTCTCTCTAAAGCCCTTGCCTACCTATTCCGGTAAGCCCCAAAAACCAAAAACCCAAACCTATACCCTAAAGTCCGAAATCCTGTAAGCCCTGAAACCCCCCCAACTCTTGGAAACCCCTGTTACCAGAGTCTCTGGAGGATGTGAGATATCCGGGAATTCGATGGCTAGATGGGGTTACTTCGGCACACGGATTGAGAATCACATGTTGGGGTTGTCAAGGCTAAGCGTATGCTATGATATGCTGCGCCCTCGGCAAAGGTTTCGACCAGATGATGTTTCCTCTACTTGTTGCTCTGAGCAGAAGCCAAGTTCCAATGTCCGATATGAAGAGCCGAAGATTCTGCCAGGTTGAATTTTCTGGTATTGTGCTTGTGTCTACAAACTTGATTCACGTCAGATCATAAAGGCCTTGTCGGCACAAGGCCGTTATGATGGCTGCTTATGCTTACAAACCCCAACCCTTTAAACTCTAAACGGTAAAATCCAAACCCTGAAACGACCCTAAACCCTTAACCCTTAACCCTTAAACCTAAACCCAAGAAGCCTCAACCTTGCGTTGAACATCTACATCCACCGGACTCTACGCATCTCAATACGGCCCTTAAAGAATCCAAAAAAGCCCGAAACCCTCTGAACGCACCCCTAAACCCAAACCCTACGAAGCCTGAAACCATTGCCGAACCCTCACAGGAATTTAACGGAACCCTACCAAAATCCTAGAAGCACCAACCTCTGCCCCCTCCCCAGCCACGAAAACCTCTCTTAAAGAAACTCTTGAAGCGCCACCCTAAACCCTAAGTTTACAGGGACCCTACAAGGAACGCGAAGAAGCCCTAAGAGGAGGCCATCATCGGCCTCATTGTAAACCCTAGACCCTAAGCCCTTTAAGTCCTAAACCCTCTAAACTCTACAGCAACCCCCTTCCGGCCCAAACCCTAAGCCCCAGAACCCTGCACATCCTCTAAACATCTCTAAACCCTCGCCCTCTCTTTACAGGAGGCCCTTAACAGGAGCCTAGACAGACCCAAGAAGCCCTACTTAAGGGATCATGGGACTTAGTAACTAGGGCTATCATCAAGGTAACCGTACTTATACCTTCATATAACCCCCACTTAGGGTACTTATAACCTTACTTCCTAAGTTCCATGATCCTCCAAGTAGACCCTAAACCCTATATAGATCCCTTTAGGGAACCCTAAAGATCCCTATAAGGACCCCTTAAAGGAACCTTACTTACTAAGTCCCATGATCCTCCAAGTAATCCACAGGCCATCGTCGGCCTCATCGTAAACCCGATCAACTCGGTGGTCCCAGCCATGGCCCGGCGCCAGCCCTGGCGAGCCCTTCCTTCCGTCTCTGTTTTGAGGGATCTTTTTAGGATCCCTTAAAGGAAGCCCTAAAGGGTTTAGGCTGCCATCAGGGCTACTATAAGGGTGTTATAAGGGATACTATATGGGTTTAGGATTTAGGGGTTAAGGTTCCTGTGAAAGGGCCACACTTTTGGGGTTTCAGGGTTTTCGTTTTTCAGGATAGGGTTCAGGGTTTGGAATTTAGGCTTTGGAGTTTAGGGTTTAGGGCTTCTGTGTCAGTTTCAAGCACTCTTCAGGCTTCAAGTGATAGAAACTGTCCCTAAACCCTAAACCCTAAACCGGGGTCTAGGGCTTTGAGCTTCTGGTCTTGGGCTGGCTTCATGGGTCGTGCGCAGTCACAGGGAAAAACCCTAAACCGTAAACCCCCACACTCTGCAGCCCCCAGCTCGGGAAAGCTCTGAGCTTCCAGACTGCCGATCATAGAGCCCTGATTACAGGGGCCGTAGTAATTGGAATAGGGTTCCTTCTATATAAGGGGTCCTTTAAAGGGCTACTATAAGGGATCTGGAACAATACTATGATACTGTAGAGCCCTGATTATAGGGGGCCGTCACGGTTAGATCAGGGTTTTGGGGCCCATGATACTATAAGTATAATGAGCAACCCCCAAATTACCATAGCCATTTAGGCAGCCACATATACCACGTCCGAACCCGGTTGAAAGCTAGCGGGGGTGAGGGTTCAGGGTTGTTCTTTTAAGAATTCTTATTAGGGTTACGTTAAAGGCGATACTGTGAGGGTTGCTTACGGGTTAAGGGTTCTTATAAGGGATGCTATGAGGGCCAGAAAAAAGGTAAGTAGGAGCCTGTTGATACCCAAACCCTCATAAAGCTTGTTAGCGCAACACCGCCCTCCCACTCCATGGGGATTCTCCAAGAAATATTGATAAAGGACGTTCATTTCCCCCACATAGGGGCTGAGTACCATTTACAATTCTTATTCCAGTATAATCTTCCTCAAAACCAGGTTCAGCTATTCACCATTTAAATCAACTCTCGTCCCAAACCTAGAGGCTTTCCCGTGTAGATCCCTTATTAGGGAACCCTTTTTGTTCCCTCACCGTAGGAAACCGAAACCCTAAAAACCCACCGAATCACCAGGCTTTATGAGAAGAAAGGACTGGACCCGAAGAAGATCATCGGCCGTGGTCTAAGTTGTAAGGGGCTTGGGGATTTTGTGTGATCCCTACGGTGTGATAGGTTGTCATAGGGCCTCTTAAATGGGAGTTTCTGAAAATAGAGAACCCTAATATAGTACCCTAAATAGTAGGATCCTTATTATAAGGACCCCAGAAAAAGGTACCCCTTGTTTTCGGAAACTCCCAAACCCCTAAACCCTAAACCCGCTTTTTGCAATGTTTTGGCTTTCGGGCTTAGAGTGCAACCCTGAACTCGGGTCCGAAGCCTTGAAGGATCAAAATCCCTCAGTACGTAGAATTGCAAAATCAGTTCTAAGTACACTCCCTAACTTAGGGGTACTTAGAAAAAAATATATACATATATATTTTTTTAACTTTTGGTTATTATAATCTCTAAGAAACAGCTAAAATTACAATTTTTGCTAGGGTTCTAAGTTCAGTATCTATTCAGCTCCAAACCCTAGCAGCCCATGTCAAGAATTCACAACCTTGTGCCATTATGTATCATCCTAGCGAGCCCCCAAAACCGCTCGACAGCCGGAGTAGGAGCCTAAACCAGCCTCCACTTCAGCTTCAAAGTGTCCAGTCTTCGTTGTTTTGCGGGTTCAGGGTAGGGACCCAGACCTTCCCAAATCCCTTAATTAAGGAATATACCTTAAAATATACTAAGGATCCTACTATAATTCAAGGGATATTCCTTAATTAGGGAATTTTGGAAGGTCTGGGGATTCTGCTTTCCGCGTAGCAACGCGAGTTTCAGAGATTAAGGGACCGTCTATCTAGAATACGAGAAGTCTAGCCCTTGTTCGGAGGGCCCCGAAGTAATCAGGTACCCTACTAATCATCAGGAAATCACTAATTACTTAACATAGGGGCCTAAATTGTGACCAATACTGTACTATCTTGGGGTCTCCTTGTCAGAATTGTAGTATAATGGGTCCCCAAACCCTATTCTAGTCATCAAGAAATCACAACTTACGCCAGTTCGAGGGGGCAGGGATCCCTAAACCCTAAACCCCTAAACCCTAAACCCTATTCGGGTGCTCTTCTTGCAGCTCTCTCTGGGGATTGGGCCCGCAACCCTAAGCCGCAAGTCAATATGAGGGCCTAAATAGTTTTGGGGCATTGCCCTGAGGCTCCATAGTAGTTCCTTTTGGGGGTCCATATTAAGACTCCTATAAGGTAATCCCAGAAAAGAACTACTATGGAGCCTCTGGGTATACTATATCTAAAATAGTCTGGGGTAATAATTTAGGCCTCTATATCACTCATGCTTCAGGCCCAAGCGCTCCACAATTTTGGAAGATGAGCTGTCGGCGCTTCAAGCCTTAGTGAACGCCCGAATCTTGCATTGAAGGTGCCCTGTACCTAATCCCGATGCCGCACCCAAACCCCAGAACCATAATTCCTAAACCATTAGGCACCTCCTTAACCAAGCGGCAATAGCCTCTCTGAGTAAGCACAGCGACCCGACACGGCGATGAAGCAGGCGTTTTCCGACAATATGGGCCCTAGTATAAATGCCAACAATCCAATGGAATAGGGTTTGTGGTGTTTGGCTACCCTGATTTCAATAAGGACACCTGAGCAATAAGACTATTCGTACTCGTTCCGGTTTCTCTAGTACCTAGATGCAAATCATACAATTGTCCGCCAAAGGGGTCTTGTGGCTTCATAGAGGTAGTATAGGGGCTTCAATACTTACCAATACCATTTTGGGCGGTTCCTTATTTTTATAACTATAGTATACTGGGCCCCAGAACCCTATTCCAATTATTGAGGCCCCTATATTACCCTTCAAGCTTTCCGGGATTCCATGAAACCCCTAGCGGGATCCGAAGCCATAAAACGTAAGCAACAGGCCCCGAACCTTGCAAACCCTAAACCCCAAGCCCGAAAACCCCATCATCCCTAATCCCTAAACCCCATACGCCCTAAGCCCTAACCGTCTTGATCGACAGAGCCCGAGGAGCTGCCTTCTTTTGTAGGTCTTCCCACAAAGGTAATTCGTCAAAATGTGGCCTGGCTTTGGGGTATATGGGTTCAGGGTTGCAGAGAAGGGTTTGCTTAATTGCCCTTTAGACGGCAAAATGCCGGGAATACAAGCATGATCGGTTGTGATTGCCATGGCTGAATGGCACAAAGGAAGAGGTAGACCTTTCCAGCGTTCACACCGCGTGTTATGCGGAGTTGTTGCGATTTGACAAGAACAAAATGGACACAACAAACTCTCTTTGCCACTTAAGGGTTCAGCGCCCAGGGATGCAGACAATGCGAAGTTACATACATATATATATATACACATATCGAAGCTATGGTATTTAATGGATCGCTCAGAGTTTCTATAACATGTTATGTGGATTTGTTTTTGGGTGCCGTGCATGGTTCTTTCGTTCCCTTCCCTGAGCCCTCAGCCCCAAAACCATGCCGACCAGGGATAATTACCCGTATTTAACTTATGGTCTAATTCTCGCCAGGAAAAGAGGTACTCCAGTCTTACGGAGCTACTGGGAACCATTCTTGTTGTACGCGGGATACCATGGCTGTTGTCATATCGACAAGCCCCCCCCCCCCGCAAGAGCTGGGTTTGTGCAGTGCTCGTTACATGCCACCAAAAGAACACCACGCCAAAGCCTAGAACCTGAACCCTAAACCCGAGACCTGACAACCCTGACACCCACACCTTAAAACTTTAGAATTACAATAGAACCTTAGGCCCCCCCAACTTTAAACCCGTGCACCGCTATGGAGCTCTTAAACTCTTACAGGGCCCCTCGCAACCTGTCAAGGCGCCCGCACCCCACCCCGGACCCGAATGTGTCGGCTCCAGGGATGATTCATTACAGAGGTGGTGTTAGGGTTTAGGCATTAGGTACTGTCATGGTTTAACTACTATTGCTAGCTAGTAATGCTGGTAAAATTCTAACTGTGGTATAGGCCTTAGGGTCCGGATACACAGTATCACAGGGTTCAGGAATTAAGGCTATAAGGTCCAAGAATGAAGAAATCAAGCAGACTCGCAGAATGGCTGCAGAATGGAGGTGTGAATGCAACGTCCATTTCAGTCGAATAGCAGAAATGGGGTACTAATCGAACGTGGATGATGCATCAACTTGTTCAAGAGGTGTTAGCAAACCTGCACTATGTAGCCACAGACATGATAGCGGGCAGTGGGTAGCGACGCTGAAGGGGAAGCTTCGATTTTGAGCCGTGACGAGAGTGTTCTTCCTTCTCCCTCTCCCGTGAAAATGCAGCAAAATCGATGCGGGATGGGACATCCATCTTTGCGGTTTCCGATATTGGATTTCCAATAGACGTCCATTTTCGGACCCCCGCCCAACATCCGGCCGTTTTACATCCATTAACCCGCGTAAAACGGATGTAATATGGATGTATCGAAATTTTCGTGCCCCCAGCCCAACATCCGTTTTGTATCTAAGTCTATGAATGGATGTTGATTTCCGGCCCCTTGGAAAAATGGATGTAAACTGGATGTGTTTTTCACACCTCCCCGGAATGCCCAATTGGAAGTGGCTTTCGCACCTGCCCATGCCTTTTGAGCTGCTTTGTTTGGGTTTCTGACAGTATATGCCTATCGGAAATTGTGGGGCCGTTCATGCGAAACCCCACAGTTTAAGTTTGCAACGACCCGACGCGCAAAGCGGAAGGGGAAGCACCGAGGCCATTCAGTCTGCACCGATCTCCAGCCCAGAGTGTTTTGGATTAGGACTCATTGCCAACATTCGTTTTTATACTCCCAACATCCATGTCCCGAATCCGGTATTGCCAGGTTATGGGCCTTATACGTTCAGGGGTTTCAGGGTTCACGGCTTCGGGCCAGATGTAGTTCGAAAACGGCCTGCTTTGTACGCGTGCGCCATTTTTTGCATTTCAGCAGCATTGATAATGTAGGGGTCTGAAGAAATAGTATTAATTAATCGTACCACTTATATGACCCGATTAACTTTAGGATTAGAGGGCAATGTGCCCACCAACCCGAAATCTAAGCATTGAATCCCCATATTTTACTCTGTCGCAACGCTTATCGCAACCCTTCATAGCAGTGTCAAAGGAGCCTTCGAAGGAGCCCTAGTTTCGGACTATCCTGCAGATAGCAGTAGCAAAGCAACGATGGGAACTACTGAAAAACCAAAAACCAGATAACAGGTTTCGGTTTGTTTTGATTCAGGTTTTTGTGGTTTTGCATCTGTTGGTGAGTCTATCGTCTATCAGTCTAGACGATTGCGAAGGAGTTTTCCAGAATGATGGGAGTTTCCAACAGGCCAGGATGTGGACCTTAATGTCTGGAATCCTTGTTGCGAACCCCCCATCCATGTTTCCAAGTCTAGATTTTCCAATGCCTTGCTCGGAACGCTTGACTGCTTTGCCTTGCAGCTTGATGTCTTCTTGTAGGTTCGGGCTTGCCGTCAATGGAATCGTCGCGATGTCCCTGCCCGCAAACCCTAAACCCTAAACCCAGAACCTGAACCCTAGACCCGTAGCCGCGCCAGTCGAAGTCCCTCTTGGTGAAAGCCTTGTGAAACCCAACCTAAAGTTCGAGCCCCAAGCCACAAACCATATACCTTAAGCTGTACACCAGCAGCTTACGTTGTGGAACCTTAGGTAAGTCTTGACGACCTGCAATCGAGATTTCCATGCGAGGTGTGACGACTTTGGATGTCGTTCGAGCCAACAAGCATCTCGACAAGGAGTAACTTTACCCAATACCGTAATGCCGAAAAGCTCCACCCTGAAAGCTCAATCTTGCTGCCTAAACGCTAGGCCCTAAAAATACATCCTCAACCCTGAATTTAAACTTAGGAATCCGACATCCTGGTGAGAATTTTAGCAAAGTTGTTAGGCTCCGTGGTTCAGTGTTGAAAGGTATGAGGGTTGATTACTAGGACCCAGAGTAGGCCCTTATTCCCTTTTTTTTAGGGTTCAGGTTCCCTTATAACACCCTTTAAACCAAAAAGGGCACCCTTTTTATTCCTAGGTTACTCTTAGGTCTAGATTAGGATCAGAACAACAGGGCCTGTGTGCTTTCAGGAGTATGCCTTCATTCAGGGGCCGCTCAACAATATCCCAGTCCTCAACCCTAAACCCTAAACCCCAGATTATCGCCAAAACCTCCAACTTTAATAAACCCCGAGACTTCCTTACCCCTAAACCCTAAACCCTCAATGACTTCAATACCCTAAACCCTACCGTATCCCCACGTAACCTACCTTTTTAAGGACTTATATAAAGAAATCATATTCGGGAACCCTAAAAAGGTAGGTTCCTTAGGGTCCAGGCAAACCCTCACTCCTGGATCCAGTCCTAAAGTCTTAAAGGCCGGGGCCTTCGGCTCCGGGACGGGGGGGGGTAGAGGGTTTAGGGCCTCCAGGGTTTATGGTTTAGGGTTTGGGGGTTAAGGGTTTAGGAGTTTAGGGTTTTTTAGGGCTTGAATAACTACCAACGCTATATTTCTAGGGACTTAGGGCTCTTCCTTTTGCAGCTGATATAGCATCCCCCAAAGGCCTAAAATCATTTCTACGACCTCTCTACTGACCCCTAACCGCACGCCGGATGATGCCGACGGTTCGGAAGACTGCTCGAAGTCTACTTGCAGAAAAAGGGGCCTCAATTGTTGGACTCTGGTTTGGGGGTATTTGCAGTAAGGAAGGTATCTATTCAGGTTTCTATATCCTTCTGTTAGTCAGATAGGCGAGTCTCCAAAATTGTAGGAATCTAATCTTCTTGGCGCGCTAGGGCCCGACACATGGGGCTTACCTTTCTGATGGCTTTCTGAAACTGTGGGATCACTCCATGGGGGTCTTGACCCCTTGTATAAGCAGTATATCGTATTTAGGACCCGTCTAGACATGTGGATATGTTGCTTCACGAAGGGCATTTGAAGCCTTTGGGAGGTCAGACAAGCCTTGGGGCCGATTGAGCTTCCCAAAAGCATCGATGTAACGGTATACCTTAAACCTGCCCCAACTTGTCAGTGACAAACATGAGGACATCATAATGTGGAACACCAAAATGCTTGGCTTTGGGGTATACATAAGCAAGCCCTAGAATCCCAGAGCTACGATTAGTCTTCGACACGTGGCCAAGGTTCGTTTTCGAGGCCACCGGCGCTCCAGTCGACTCCATCAATGTGTCGGGTGCCCGGAACCTTTAACATGAGTTGTTTAGGGTTCAGGGTTTAGTAGTTGTTGCAGCGGGTCCTGCAAGGGTTTCATGCCTCTGCTGCATGAGTTGTGTAAGGATTTTTATACCCTAAACCCTAAACCCTAAAACTTCGAAACCCTAAGACCTAAGCCCTAAACCCCATGGGCCCCACGGCTGAGAGAGCTTTTGCTTTCCCTCCAATGATGTTGAAAATGCTTGAACCCTAAGCATCCCTGAACCACAAGCTGCCCAAACCTTTAAACCCCTGGAGTTCAAGCCCAGCACCCTAAGGCGTTGTTTCATTTGTCATTGTGACCGTGCTATGTGAGAATGGCACACTCACCGTTACCACTAGCATTGCAACTACAACTTCTACCAGTAGTACTACCACTGCGACCACCACCACTTCTTCAATCACTTTCGACGGTGTCAGGTTTCCCCTAAACCCTAAACCCGGAACCTGGAAAAGGGCCCATGAAAAAAAAAGAACCCCTAAACCTTAAACCGTTTCCTTTAGTTGCATTTTCCACGGTCTTCCCTCGGCACATCTGCTAGTTTCGTCTTTTGCTTCAGCTCGTGCAGGAATCCTGAGCTCGAATATGGTTGTATAATATGGGGCCTTAATAATTACTACTACTATTTTGGGGGTTCCTTATTATAATTATAGTATCCTATAAGAGGGCTTTAGGCTTTGGGTGTTTAGAGTTCCAGATTTGGGTTCTCGGTGTAGGGTGTACCTTTTGCCAACTCTTCAAGTCTTCAGGGGAGATGGAGCGGCAACGAAACGCATTGTCTAGTTTGAGGGTGCGTTGAAGATTGAGCAGTCGTAGACCACGTAAACTCCGTGACCAATTCGGGTAGCGTGAAATCACTACCAACGAACCGATCCATGATTTCCTGCACACATGGCTTTTCGCCTGCAGCGATCGTTGCAGCCAACGACTTTGTGGTGTGTTTCTGCATTAGGATTCCTTCACATGCCAAGCACAGGCCTCGTCCTCGTCGTGTTGTGTTGACTTGTGGTTCGCAGGCGTACTGCAGGACAAAAAACTAGGCCCGATTAGACATTAGGCTGGCCGGCGTTGGGGTGGGGTTTTCGCTTCCGCCCGACGTGCCGTGGACGACCCCTTGGGTCGAGGCTTCAGTTCGCAAGCTACAGCACCTTAAACCCCAAGACCTTAAAGCCGTAAAGCCCCAAACCCTAAACGCCCTGAAGTTGGACCTGTTTCAACCCTCAGACTGGCCCTGAGACCATAAAGCCTTAAACCCCAAAGCCATAAACCCTACACCCCTGTGGACCTCCGGATCATGCTCTCGGACACGAGCCTTAAACAAAATCACCCTAAACCATCGCTAAACCCCTAAATTCCAAAACCCCAAAACCACTAAACCCTATTAACCCCGAAGCCCCAACCCCTAAACCCTATAGACCCCTAAGCCCTAAACCGTAAGCAAAAACCCTAAACCCTAAACCCCATCTTACGAAACCCTAAACCCTAAACCCCCTCAAAAAAAACCCTAAGTCCCGAAAGTCGGCACTGTAAACACGTCTTACGAAACCCTGAGGCCGGTTATCGGCGGTCACGCCGGGAAGTCGGTGCTCCCTGTCTTCTCGCAGGCCGCCGTGAGCTTTGGGATCCTTTACAGGGAATTCAAAGGGATCCTCTAAAGGGGATTAGAAAAGGGATCCTTTAAAGGGGATTATAAGGGATCCTTTAAAGGGGATTATATAAGGGAAAATTTAAAGGGGATTATATAAGGGATCCTTCAAAGGCTCTATATGGGTACTATAAGGGTTGAGGGTTTAGGGTTGAGGCAGCTTTAAGGGGTCTGAGCTTTGGGTTGAGTTTAGGGTTTAGGGTGCTTTACAGAATACTCTGAGGGTTCCGTTGAGGCATGAGCTACCCATCTCGGGGGCTTCAGGGTCTTAGCGTTCACAGGGGGAAGGGGGGGGAGTGTTGCCGTTTTGGTCTCAGGGGTTTGTAGGGCCTCTAGGGTTTAGGGTCTACCTGGACCCTGAAGAACATACCTTTTTAGGGTTCCTTATTATGATTTTTCCTTATGTAGGTCCTCAAAAAGGTCGGTTAATTTGGGGTTAGGTCTAGGGCTTATGCGGATTCAGGGGCTAGGTTTAGACGGTGCCCTTGTAGAGTTATAGAACAGCTGGACATGGTCTGGCGCTCCTGGGTCAGCATCTGTCGTCGCACAAGTCCCACAAAACAAAACAGCCTCGCGAAAGCCCCGTGAAATTTTGTTTTGCACCGAGCCTATAAAGGCCTCTACTCTCGACGTATAAACTTACATTATAAGACAAAATTGAGGGCCCAAACCCAAGACACCTGAAGCCCTATGTCTTTAACCCCTCCACCTTAAACCTAAGCCTTAAAAGCTCGATGCCACCTTGCCTGTGAAACCGAAAAACAGAAGCCGCGTAGGACCCTTTGCATAAAGACGACACGTAGGGGAGAAATCCCATGAAACACGTATAAAACCCGCATAAGGTACCCTTACAGTTTATTTGTAGGATCGTTTACGGAGCCCTTGAAAGAGGACTCCTTCTTTGATTACCTTAAAACCCTAAACCTTAAATGGCCAATCCTAAACCCTAAAGCCTTAAACCCTTAACCCCAAGCCCCAAACCGCACTGGAGCCCTCTTCAGAAAACAACTTTTTAGTCCCTAAGCCATGCTAAACCCTAAACCCCTAATCCCTAAACCCTAATCCCCAACTAATCCCGGAACCCTAAACCCTACACCCTAAACCCTAAAATAAAACCCTTCAAGTACCTATATAGGGACCCCTTTAAGGCCTAAGTATCTACTACAAAGGTACATGGAGCCTTTGGGACCCGAAACCCCAAAGTCCCTCAACCTCGGAAGGAGAAGGCCTAAACCCTAAACACTAAACCATCCTAAAAAAGGAGCTACTGCACTTAAAAAAAAAACCATCCTAAACCTTAAGCCCTAAACCCTAAACTCTAAACTTAAACTCCACCTCGGAAGGAGAAGGCCTCTGCCGGCTTGCCGCTGGACAAGCGGAAGCTGCTGGACGTCCGACTTCAGGAAGCAGGCGCTGAGAAAAGGGCTTAGGGTTAGGGCTTTGTGTATAGGGCTTTGGGTTTAGGGTTTAGGGTTTGGGTTTTATTATGTGTCTGGATGCAAGTACTGGGTTTCCAGAGATATACCTGAATGAGCTAATTCGAACGTGGGCTTGGGGTAGAGCTGGGTTGACAGAGACTACGGTTCCGTTGAAGAACCCCGTTTCCATCAGTTCAAAGAAAGGCGTCCGTCATCGAAGGAAGCTAGAATATGAATTGCCAATAATTACTATTTTGGGGTGCCTTATCATGATTATAGTATAATAGACCCCAAAACCACATTCTACTTGTTAAGGCCCTATGGTTGCAGCTCTGAAGCCCTAAAGCCGTAAGCCAGGAGCTTTAGAGTCTGAGAGTTTAGCTCAGGGAAATCGGAGTTCCCGAAACAAGGAACACCCACATCGACTCCCCCGAAAAAAGCCTTATGGTAACCAGCCCTACAAAAGCGACACCGAAACCCTCAATCGGAGACTTTTCTTGAACCTCCATCCCGAAACCCCAAACCCTCCAAAATCATGGATCTCTCCCCATAACCCACTCCCCCACTCCCTACTAAGCGCCAGAGAGTTAAAGGGATATCGGAGTCGATGGCAAGCCCTAAACCCTAAAAGCCAGTCACAAAGCCCAAGGATTCGCATGTTTTGGCTTTGTCCCCCAAACCCTAGACAGTAAATCTTAAAACCCCAAACCCTAAACTCCTAAACCCTAAAACCCTAAACCCTGCATCTTAGAAGAAGCCCTAAAAAGCCCTAAAAGGGACCCTCAGGTTGCCCCCTGCCAGGTGCCGAGGTCGTGCGCGCGAAGAGCGGAAAGGGCAGTGCTACGCTTTCCCTTGGCCACTTGGACGAGTTGGGGCTGATGTTATAAATCCTGCATTACCCATGGTATTATAGGGTACAAAAGGGTATCATAGGGTATTATAGGGCATTCTAGGGTATTATAGATGATATAGATCCTGCATTACCCATAATAACGAGTATGCCACAATTCCCATAGTTTAGGATCCTCAAGGTATGGCGTTGTTTAGGGAACCAAAGCCCGAAAACCCGCTCTGAAATCTAAAAACCCTCAGCCCTGAAACTCCAAAATCCTAACCGCACTAAACGCTCTCCTACATGTTTCTGAAACCCCTCCCCCCAGTGGAACAGAGTCTTGACCATTTTGGGCGTTCGGGCTTGTCACTTAATACAGGGGCCTTAATCACTAGAACAGGTTTAGGTTAGGGGTTCATCATGTAGGGACCGGAGACTCAGGGATAAGGGTGGAGGGATGCCTTGCAAGGCCCAGGGCTTTGGATAGGGTGTAGGATGGTTTAGGATTTCACTGGGTTTTGGGTCTCTTATGGCACGAAGGATTTTGTAGGGATGTCGGGTGTCGGTTTTTTCCGGGAGTGGGGTTAAAGGGAGCTTTTTCGCACCAGAACGAGGGCAAAATCCAGCAGTTCAATCTCAGCCCGTAGAAATGAGGTTGAGGGTTTGCCACTCGACCTATGTTGCACGGGGTATAACATTCCCAAGGGAAGATCGTCAATGGCTTTTCTATAGTGGTTCTATTCATGACGACTAAAAACAGCACCACTGCAACCAGTGTCGTACGGGAACTGAGGACGGTAGCCATAAGAAAGCTCATGGGCAGTTGCAAGGAGGTCTGGAAGCACCGCAAGCGGGGTAGGCTTGACCTGTAGTCGTAGTTACCACGTCCCCTGATCCGTGAATTTTCGATGCACAGACTGCTAAGACACTCCACAAAGTGGCAAACCTTTTCGATATTTCACTCCAGCAACCTACACAAGCCAAACCCTAAACCCGAGTTCCTATGCCCTACAAGCCCTAAACCTCGAATGCATGGTATGGTAGCCCCCTGAACCCAAAGTACCGCTATGGAAACTGCATCTAAACCTTAAGCCCATCTAGAATCTAGTAGCCCTATGAGTAAGAAGAAGCAATTGGAAACCATAAGGCTTTCAAGCCACTAAGCCCAAAACCCAAACCAAGCTCTGCCCTGTAGGCTACGCAGGGTATCTCCTCGGCAGCGCGGTGCTGAATGGTCTGGCAGGCCGGGTCAGCATTCGGGATTTTCTGGGTTAAGGGGTTGACAGGTTTAGGGTTCAAAGTGTTTTGAATTCATTGTGATAAGGATCCTACGATAGAGCTTGCGGGTTGGATTGTCAAGCATGTTCAAGTATCCTACCCTAAACACGAAGCTGTTTCGAGTATGGAGATCCTATTGAGTTTAGGGTTTTGAAGTTTCGATGATAAGCATTCTTCGGCAGGGTTGGTGGTTTCGGGTATTAGGGTGCCCAGGGTCTACAGGATTGGGGGTTTCTTGCCTGTTGACTTGGGGCTGAGGTTCGCTCACGGAGTAGTCAAGCGGGTCGGGTTCTCGTTCGGCTTCATGCTATAGTATACTACAGTATACTATAAAATAATACTATAACATGCTATAATAATTTGTAGCGTTCAGAGAAACGGGTTTGGAGACCTCGGTGCCTAGGCTGTGTCTAACCGACTGATAGCGTGTTTATGGTACAACTGGGATCCCGCGCGTTGACTGTGGAATACTGCACACATATCAGGTTTCGAAGAGTCGTGGAGATTTTTCTGATCAGTCGGCTTTGCATAGCCTTGTTTCTGGGTGTTCCATGAGTGTTTGTGCATCAGCATGGCTCAATGGGCTCTATATATGCGATTGTTCAGGGATTGAAATGTAGAGACCTGGATTATTTGTCGTTGTTAGTGACTCAAAGGGACCTGGATGGTTTATGATTGCTCAAAGGTTCACAGGGCCTAGCCAGTGCGGCTGCAGGTAGCAGTAGACAAGACTAACCCGAACGTCAATTGCGGTGTCCTTACACCCTAAACCCTAAACCCTTGTAGCTGCCCATGAGCCTCCCAGCGCCCGTCCCTCCAACAAGCGCAACTATGGAACAGAAGACAATAATAGAGGGGCCCTAATAATTAGAACAGGGTTTGGGGGTACATAATATTTAATATGACTATAGTAAGGAACCCCCGAAACCCTGTTCTAATTATTAAGGCCTCTACACTATTTTAGGCTGGGCGCCAAATATATCGAACCCAGACTATTCAGGGTTTAGGACTCTCGGATGTGGATGTAGAGTTTAGGATGTAGGCTTCAGGGTTCGGGGTTTAGGGTTAATTAGGGTTCGGCATGAACGATCCTCGAAAAGGTTGTAGTGTTGCTTCATTGATAGCATTTGGGTTCTCGCTCTTTGTCTTTGCTCCAGGCAAACGATCGACAGTGCCTTGGTAGCATTGTGGCGTAGAGCTTAGGCAGTACCTGACTGCAGCAATCCTTCATGGTAGGCCCCCTATGCATGACATGCCGTGACTCACGCAAAGTCACGAAAGCTCAAGGGATGGGGCTCCGGGCAAGGGGTGATTAAAGCAGCAATTCAGGTTGTGGGAGTTGTCAGGTGCAGATTTCCTGCTGAAAGGAGGTTCTTAGGTCGACACTCGGTGCGAAATCGCTGAATCCACCCGCTTTGAGATGAAATAACTACAGCCATACCAAGCCTTAAACTATCCTTTAACCACTATATGAAATACTATATGGTTCCATATTTCTACAACAGTGTACCCCTATCGAATCTGAAGCTAGAGGCTATCAATATCTAGAACATGCCTCCTGCATGTGCTAAGCATTAACCTTTGCCAAAACCATAAACCTGTGGCTGTGCAAGCCTAAGCACTACAACCCCGGGGTTCTGGGTTTCAGGGTTCGTAGGCCTTTTGTGCTTTTTGGTTGTCGTGCTTTCGGATTCAGCTTTCTTAACAACCCTAAACCCTAAACTAAGGCAGTTTTATCAGCACGCCTGCAACAGCCCGCTCCCTCAATTTCTTGTAAGATCATGTACCCCAAAGCCAAAGCCCTGTTGACATTGCCAATTGTCAGTGCCATTTTTGCCCGCGTCCAAAACCCCGTACACAAAATGTGTGCTGAACAATTGTGCTTTCGTGATTTTGGATGTACTCGACATAAAGGTTATCATAAGTGTTGACATGTGTCCACTCGTTTTGGGTGCAGTCGGGGGTGGACGTTGTTATGGGTGTGAATATATGAACTCACTGACACCTCCGTTGTGGGTGCTCGCTATACGAGTCGGCTGCCGGCAACCAGGAGGTGGGGGGCTGACGGTACAAGCAGCTCTTTGAGCTCATTTGCTACGGGTTTGTCGTTTAGCACCCTTGATCTCAGGAGTGCGCGTACGTGAAGCCTCTCGTCTGCATGGGTTCCGGGATCGGGGCTTGGCTGTGTGTTTCGCACCGAAGTGTGGTGCCAAGGAGGTTTGTACAGGTTTGTTATGGGTTCTCTGACGGCCTTTCTTAGGTTTGCTGGGGGCTGTTGCGAAACAGGGTTTGTCGACTCTGACGCCCAGCTCGGCGTCGCATCATGGTAAATATTCCTTGCTCTTTCAGAGCACCAGCGGCTTGATGTGATGAACTGATTGAATGTTTGAGTCGATAACTTATTCAGCAACATAAGCAGCTCCCTAGCAAGGCCGTCCTTCGAACAAGCATGCAACTCTGTGGCTTTCTAACCAAGCATAACGAAACAAACATGCTACACTTCTGGTGGGTCCAACCCTTGGTTAACACTACACATCCGGCCCAGGGAGTCATCCACAGGTCTAAACTACTGGTGCTATCAACTATCAACAGCCATATATCTACAGACACGCTATATACAATCCCGAGTTTCGGGTTTCGGGGTTCAGTGTGCTTTTGGTGTACCATAGCAGGTTGAGGGATTAGGGCTTACGTAGGCTTAGGGTGTCGGGTTCATAGTATTCTGGGATGGGTCTAGAGAAACTATCGTTGATGGCTTGTGCCTACATCGAGCTCGGCCTAGAGCCCCAAAATGACCTCGCTACGGCCTGGTCGTGGCGACCATGAAGCTTTCAAGGCCCCGTTGCAGCTCACAAAACCCTATAATCCCTACAAGACTCAATTCCGTAGTTCCTGAACCCCAAGCCTCCAAACCTTGAAACACCTGAATCCCAAGAACCCCAAACCCCATAAACCCGTGTGGCCGTGAATCCCCCTTTCAAAGGTCCAATGTTACGGAGCTCGAGTTCTTCACTTCCCCCGTGACCTTCGGGCCAAGGGGCGTCGAGAGGGTGCGCCAGAGATCAAAGTGTAAACACTGCCAAGCCTGAGGCCCAAACCCTAAAGGTTCTAGGTTCTGTAAAGGCTCTCACCGGTTTAAATTAAAGGGTTTTTCGAGCTGGGTAAGTAGGGTTTAATTGCAATGCAGGTTTGGTGGTTCAGCGGTGTTTTCGGGGCCTTACCGGGCTTTCCAGGGTTCTATTTTAATGTTTTGGTTCGTGTAGATGATTACACAGTTGTTTCGAGTCGAGCGGTTTAGGATGGTTTGGGGCTTTTGGGGTTTGGAGGAAAAGAGCTTCAGTGCTGAGGTTCAGGGCTTGTGGGCGTAGGGTTCCATAGAGGTTTAGGTCGTTTCAGGGCTTTCGTTTGGGGGTCCTCTGTCCCTCCTGGCTTCGGGTTTATGTGTTTAGGGTTCAGGGCTCAGGGAGGCTCACGGCGTTGTCGGCGTGGAGGCGAACCTGGTTGCTGGGGTTTAGGGTCCGGTTTGGGCCTCGCGATGCCATCATAGCTATCATAACCGTATATAGAACGTGAAGAACCCTGACTACAGCTTCATTTTAACCCCTGTGTCTGTTGTTCATTGGTGCAGCATCTAGTGAGTTTATGACATTTACGGCTTCAGATTCAATATAGGGGGCTAAGTCGTCGGCGGAGGCAGTCCCCAAGCTTTAAATTTCACCATGCACAAGCGCGACCACCGTCATGGGATCTGCATGTAGCCACCGCGGTCCTGGACATCTTTTATTGCAGGGCCTTTCAGTGCGATCCGAGCAGTTGCTCGCCGATTTGGGGCCGAGGCACAGGTTCCTACCTGCAGGTCTTGGGCTACGCCACTGCAAGTGCAGAAAGCCTCGCCCAGATAGTTCGGACGACGAATTTCAAGACCTCTTGCAAGAGGCTGCTCGGAAGGTCGTGCCTCCTCCTGCAACGCAGCCGGCACCCACGAGAGTGAGGCCAAATGGATTGCCGATATTATTCCGTAGGGTTCCTTACTTTAATATCATACCATTATATAATGGACTATACAGGAGCCCAGAACCTATTCTAGCTTTTGAGGCTCCTATACTCAGTCCTTATAGTAGCCCTTATAGTGACCCCTGCAGGACCCCTTTAAAAGGGACCCTTAAAGCGACCCCATTCTAATTACCAAGGCCCCTCTATTATTTGGCTTCTGGGAGATTCGGTTCGGGGCTCTGGGTCGCGCTTAGTGTGTCTAGGGTTGAGGGTTTAGGGTTTAGGGGTTTAGGGTTTAGGGTTCAGCAGTCAGGGCCTTGGGGGTTTAGACTTCTTAGGGCTTAGGGCTTTAGGGTTTAGGGTTTAGGGCTTAGGGTTTGTCTTGGGTGTGTAGGAAGTATCGTCCACGGTTTAGAGGCTCAGGGACCTGTTGAAAGGGATCTCCAAGGCTGAGTAGGTAACATTTGGGGGTTGTTCTAAATTATGGTCCCTTTTTGGGCCCTATAGTAGTATAGTCCTTATTATATAGGGTACCCAAAAAGGGACCATAATTTAGAACAGCCCCCATTTCACGTTTTGGGGTGTATATAATGCTACCATAATTGAGAAGGTTAACCTTTTCTGAGCTAGGGTACTGAGCCAGTACTGAGCCCCTAAGTTTTCATGGTCTAGGGTTCAGGGTTTGTTGCCAGGTGCACCCTGTTCCGCGGTTGGACAACTACGAGCAGGACCACCGGGGGATGCCACGACTTGGGTCCTGAGGGTTCGGGATTTTGGGTGCGTTCGGGCGCCCAAAAGTGAGAGTTTTTTCCTCAACAGCCAGAGGATTGGTAGGCGAAGTAAGGTCTGGGGCAGATTTGGGCAAAGCTCTCGGGCAAGTTCCGGGGCGAGTTCCGGGATGCTCAATGGGTTTGTGTTCCCTCACATTCTATCACTAACTTTGTAAGTCTCTGCCTCAACCTTAAAAGCACCGCTGGTATTCAGACTTCCACAGTGAGGATCAGCGAAACCTTCGTACCGGCGAAGCCTTAGACACCGATGCAGATGATATTTCAGCGGCTGAAACCCTAAAACCCTAAACCCCTAAACCCTAAACCTTGAACAAACCTCAAAACCCTAAGCCGCGAAGCTTTGAGCTGAAGCCTGAAGCCCTAAGCCCTGAACCCCGATCCATGACTTACAAGCTTTCGCCCCCAAACCGCAAACCTTCATGAACCCGAAGCTGCCTCAACCGTTGGATTTTGGGCTTTAGGGTTTAGGACGCGGGGTTGAGAGGGTTGGGGTTTAGGGTTAAGAAGTCTAAGAGCTAAGCTCCTGAAGAAGCCAGGAGCGCCTAGCTGAAGCCAAGACAGCTGCTTGGCTCAGGAAGGAGGATCAGCTTTTGCTGAAACCCTCAGTTTTCGACGCCGAAGCGGTAAGCCCCAAACCCTTACCTTGAACTTTCCTTTCAGAACCTTTTCTTGTAGGGCTTCCTTACTCTTTGAACTATAGGGGTGATAATAACATTAAGCCGCTTCAAAGCAGGTTGTGGTAGTTTAAGGTATCCATGTCGACAGGAGTGTGATAGTGACATGATCGTATTTTGCTAGAAGTATGATAGTCTTGTGAATTTCCAAGCGCTGAAGGTTGAGCTGCACCTTAAACTAAGCCCCATCTAAAGCCCAAACCCGCTTCGCACTTGCAGGCTTCTTCTCGCTTCGGTGTTGGGAGTCGGTGTTTAGGTTTCGGGTTGAGGGGTTTAGGGTTTAGGGTTTGGGGTTCCCCTTACCCTAAACACGACAAGCCTTGAACCTGAAACCTTGAACCAAAAAGCGAACCCAAACCCTGGCTGTTGAACCTTACATTTCTGACTCTATAAACACCTTGAGCCCTTCATTTACTGCACCCGTCCAGACCCGGGGCTTTGAGGATTGGGCCCGGGTGGGTGCAGGAAGATCCGCCGGCAACAAATGCTTAACCTCTTTACAAGCCCTTATGAAGACCTTACCGAACCTCATGAAACAATTTCAGCACCCCCTTACAAATCACCAAACCCTGCATAAACACTGAGCTATAAAGTCTTACTGCTGATGGACAAAATCTTGCATTACCAATTATAAGGAATATACCATAATTCCCATAGTTTAGGGTCCTTAAGGTCATGCAGGATTTTGTCCATCAGCCGTATCTAAGTTCTGTATAAGCCCGGGCCAAAGGTTCTGAAAGAGGAGATCGACATTGGCCGGGGTCATGGACTGTCCAATGTAGAGATTCTGTGAAGGTTTCTTTTCGGGTTCTTTTCAGGAATCGAAAAGGGCGAAAGAAGATTTCAATCTGGGATTCGGGCTTGGGGCTTCAAATTAATATAGGGGTCTCAGTACGTGGCAACCGTATAAAACCACCTTACATGAGCCCCTGTAACATGACGCAGCATCATCTCGCGAAGCTACCCCAACAGTCTTGTTCTAGTCATGAAGCCCCCTAGTTGGTACAGTACCGTATACACCCCGATAAACCCCCGATACCTTAAACCCTAAACCCTAATCTTATGATTAGTGCCCCTGCATTGGTTTCAGAGGTCCTGGCGATTTGGGGGGAAGTTTTGGAGAACGAACCTCGTTTGATTCTCGAAGGGTTTCGTTACGGGTTCTGTATGGGTACTATATATCCCCTCTACGAAGGTGTTACAGGGTCTTTTTAAGGGGTATGTTTGCAAAGATGTATGTTTATGTGATTTATGTGTATGTATCTATATGTATACGATGTATATATATATATATACATACACATATACATATATACATATATATGTATATGTAGGCAAGTATAAGCACACAAACAGACAGCTTACATCAGTGATTATACACAAGTTAATGGATAAATATGTACATGTGTGTATATATATATGCATATGCAAGTATATTTCATGGATATGTTTGTAGTTTTACTAAGTAACCCAAGAGTTTCTCTTCTCGCATTTTTTCGTAGTTGGGAAGGGTCCTTGTTGCAAGTGATACTCTCATGTTTACAGCTATGGGCTTCTATATCAGTTTTCATAAGGTTTCGATTTTGGTTCAACCTTCCGCCACATACCTTAAACCCTAAATCCCAAACCCTAAACCCTAGACCGCGCTCAGAAGTTCCTTTGCCCTAGCCTGCCCCAAACCATCTGCGTACTATCGGTGCCTAAATAGTTACCACTACTATTTTGGGGGGTTTCTTTTTACCAATTAATTATACTGTAATGTGCCCAAATCCGTATTCCAATTATTAAGGCCCCTATATTGTCGAATTGCCGAAGGAGCCCTGCAAAACATCGAGCCCCTTCGCCTGCGTTCCGGTGCCAGACACACAGCTAAGGTCTCGAGTTTGCGCAAGAGAATGAGCTGATCTTTTAGGCGTCGATCGAGTCTTCGAGGATGTGGATAGGGTTTAATATAGGGGCCTAAACAATTACCACTACCACTTTGGGGGATGCTTGTTGTTAGTATAGTATAATATACCCCCCAAACCTTATTCTAATTATTCAGGCCCCTATATTCGGCTAGGGTTCAGCAGCCTTAGTCTTGTCAATTGGAAATGAGCACTTCGGTACACATTGTCGCATGCTTTAGGCCACTCTCCTCGCACTCTTTTGCGCCTGTGCCCATCCCCTTCAATGTGAAACCGCCGTTTCGCGAGAACTGCAAATCCAAGCCCCAAACCTAGCGACTTGGGGGCTCATGGATAGCTACACGTGAGCTTATAAGTAGGCTAGCTTATATGTAACCCACTTACAGCTACCCATGAACCTCTAAGTAGTACTAGCAAGTTCCCCCCCGCCTGGCCCCCGCAACTGCCATGCATCATGGCCTAAGTAGCTACGAACGAGGAGCAGACGATCCTGTAGAAGCCACGTACTTGGTGGTAGCTGTTGTGAAGCCCCGTACTACCTCGAGCCGATATCTCAAAAATGAGAGTGTTCGGGGGTTTGGGGTTTAGGGTTAGAGAACCCGAAACCCTCATACCCTCAACCTTACACTGCACGGCGGCGGTAGGGGGGGGAAAGGGCCCGGAAACTGCGACGCTTGGTTTTCCAGGTTTCAGCGCGCAGGCAGTCCCAAACAATCCAACAACCCTGAACCCGGCACTCTCAGTCGTAAACCTTACAGACTCTAAACCCTCAACAGTAAACCCTCAACCCTCAACCCATAACTTAAACCCCTGAATGAATATATATATATATGTAATATGAAGGATACTTTTTCATAGCATTATTAAATGATAATAATCTTCTTCTTCGGCAGACTTCAGAGCCGTCAAGCGGCGCGTCTCAAAATGATAATAATACCAATAATTGGATCAAAGCCCTCTTTTTGCAAGTCCCCGTAGAGACCCTAAACCCTAAACCCTAAACCCTAAACCCTAAACCCTAAACCCTAAACCCTAAAAAAAAAAAACCTAACCCCAAAACCCTAAACACCCGGAGCCTGGCAGCCGAATGGGTCCCAACCTTGAGCCGAAGAGTCCGAAGAACCCGGCACAAAGTTTTTTCTGGGACTCCTAAGATTCCTTTAAAGGGATCTATAAGGGTTCCTTTTAAGGGTTCCTTTAAAGGGATCTATAAGGGTTCCTTTTAAGGGTTCCTTTAAAGGGATCTATAAGGGTTCCTTTTAAGGGTTCCTTTAAAGGGATCTATAAGGGTTCCTTTTAAAGGGATCTGTAAGGGTTCCTTTTAAAGGGATCTATAAGGGTTCCTATAAGGGTTCGGTGTGGGTTTTGGGGTTGAGGGTGTATAGGTTTCAGGTTTAGGCGCAGGTTTAGTGCTTAGGGTTCAGGGGTTTAGGGTTTTGGGGGTTAGGGTTCCTTCGAGAGTCCCGCAGCGAGTTCTGTAAGTGTTCCTCAACGGAATCAAAAGGGTTTAGTAGGGCTTGGGCTTGGGGTTTAAGCTTTTTAGGGTTCCTTAAAGGTTCCTGAAGGAGCCCTGTAGCTGTTCCTCACGGGGATCTGCAGGGCTTGGTAGTTGGTATTTGGGAACAGCGGGGGTTCAGACAGGTAGCGAGTTTATAGGGTTTGACAGGGTTATGAAGAAGGTAACCCTCAGCCCAACACAAAGACTCGTAAGCCTACGCCCCAGACCTCAGAAAGCTTTAACCCTGAACCCTACACCCTACAACCAACAAACCGTGAACCCAAGCGCAATGGTGGCCAGGGGGTTCTCAGATTCGGGAATCGGCTCAGGCATCGTTTCAGGCGGCAGAACAACAGTGGCCGGCCAGTAAACTGGGGCGGTTCCTAAGAAATCCTGAAAGACACCTGTGCTCATAAGCACTTCATGAAACCCTAAACCCTAAACCCTAAACCGAATCACGGTTCGAAAACATCTGCCCAGTTTAGAACACCTGCCAACAGTAACGCTCCACCCTCGAGCCCAAAGCCGATAAACCTAGGGTAGGGGCCTCAATAATCAGAATAAGATTCCTTTGAAGGGGTCCTTAAAGGGCTACTATAAGGGATCTATAAGGGTACTATAATCTAGGGGCCTTAATAATTAGAATAGGGTTGATAAACCTAGGGTATTAGGGTTTAGGGAATAGGGTTCCTTATAAAGGGTTCCTTTAAAGGGGTACTTTAAGGATACTATAAGGATACTATGATATAGGCGCCTCAACAATCAGAATAAGGTTTGGGGGTATAGTATACTAGTTATAATTACGAACCCCCAAGGCTCCCCATTCTGATTATTCAGGCCCCTACATTAACCCCGAGGCTTAAATCATTGTGAATGGACAACCCAGACGGGACTACAAAGCTCAGATACCAAGCTTTCAGCTTCGCAAAACGAAAAACTATCCTGACTGAACCGTAAAACCCCAAACCTTTAACCTTAAATCCCTATCCCTACCACCTCCTGGAGGATCATGGGACGTAGTAAGTATGGTTATAACTACCTTAAGTGGGGTTACAGTTACCCATAAGTATAGTTACTGTAATCAAAACCCTAGTTACTAAGTCCCATGATCCTCTAAGTACATGCAAGACCTTCAATTTATACAGAAGGGACATTCTCCGGAACCGCCGCCGTATGCACTCTTTTTTGAAAATTCAGGAAATCGCTCCTGGCTTGAGGAGTCGTGGAGAGGAAAGCCCTTCCGAGCCCTGAGCTTTGACACCTTAGTTGCTTGTTTTCTTCATGCTTGAGGGTTCAGGGTGAAGAGAGGGGTTTAGAGTTTCTTTGAAAGAATGTTCAAGGGCGTAAGGGAAGGGTATTATAGTTGTTGTACAAGGGGCCTCTGGCAAGTTCGAAGGCCTAGAGCCGAAATCTCCGGGTGCAGGGTTTATGGGAGATACGCATTCACTGAAGCTGCATGCACACCCTACTTGGAGGATCCAGGGACTTAGTAAGTATGGTTCTAAGTACCCTAAGTAGTTATAAGTATAGTTACCTTACTTATAACCCTAGTTACTAAGTCCCATGATCCTCCAAGTACATCCCGAAACGGCCCCGAGCCCAGCAGGCAAGATTCCGAGGTTGCAAGGGGATCTTCTTTCATAGGAGGCCAAAAGGGGTTTTAGCCTATGGGGTTTAGGTGGGGATTAGGGTTCCCATAGGGTTCATATTAAGGAGTCCCTACCCCAAGAACCTTAAGCCCCCGTTGTGGCCTCCCATCATTCTTACTCATTTTCAGACCTCCACGATAGCCAATGGAAGTCTGAAGGACTGCTCGTATCACTCTAATTAAACGGGTATAGATGCTTTGTCTTCTTCGGGTCCTTTGAAAACTCTTCTTACAGGAGCCCTATAAACCCTTAACAAAACTATCTCCAGAAGCTCTCATCTTCGTCGCTGTTTGGCCGGGCCCTCTCCACCTTGACTTCTCCTGCGGGAGAGAGCATTTTGGACTCTGGTTATGGGTGTTATAGGGCTGACAGGGTTTACAGTGTTTTATGGGGTTCTGCAGGGTGTTGTAGGGTTTTGCGCTGTTTTGCAACGATTACGGTTTTGCAGGAATTGATAGGTCTCCAGAGAGCCCAGCACGATTTAATTGAGCTTGCGAATACAGACACTGCCTTTGCTCTTTATCTGGAACAGCGCTATGCCCAAACACCTGAATCACTTGTCAGGCATTTGAAGCTGAGAGTGTTCGCAGCACACGAGTTACACGAGGATACGTGCACCCTGCATTCAAGCCTTCAGCTTAACCCGACAAGGCCACGCCTCAGAAACCCTGCGCGATAAATCCAGCACACCTACACCCACACAGCAGGCTCTACATATTATTTCCAGTTGTAATCATCGAATCGTTCCAACTAGCAGCCTTGCTTGCGGTTCGTGGTTGGGGATTCAGGTTTAGGGTTTAGGGTTGCAGCTCTCTTCGTGAGCACTGTCCCTTGTAGACAGCTTGTTTCGGATTTAAGCACGCGAGCGGCGAGTGCAAAAAGTGGTTCAGTATCCGTGCTTAACGACATCGAACAGTGAGGATAAAACACCCTGTGATTGGGGAGGTTCTGTAACGGAAGGAGTAGCAGTAGCGGCGGCAGCAAAAGACGAAGAAGAAGAAGAACTAATTGTCGTCGTAGCTTACTTAAAGGATCATGGGACTTAGTAACTAAGGTTATAAATGAAGCAACTGTACTTATAGCTACTTCTATCCCGACTTAGGGTATTCATAACCTTACTAAGTCCCATGATCCTCCAAGAAGAACTAATCGTCGTGGTAGCTTAGTCGCTGTCGTAGTCCTCCTGGTGGCGATTCTGGCAATGGCGTCATCGATGTCGCCGCTGTACTAATGCCTGATGATGAATAGCAAAAAGTGGGAGTGTCCGAACATAGGGGGGGCCCTAATATACTAGGATGCCCAGTAGTACCCTTATTCCCTTTTTGTAGTCCTAGGTTCCTTATAAAGTTACCCAATACCAAAAAGAGAGGCCTTTTTATTCCTAGGTTACTGGGTATCCTAGTATAGTACCCTAAATAGTAGGATCCTAATTATACGGACCCCAAAACAAGGTACCCCTAATTTTTCGGAAACTCTGACCCCTTATAGAGCCCTTTAAAGGGACCCTTCTGGTACCCCTATACTAACCCTTTGAAGGAACCCCACAATAAGGTACCCCTAATTTCGGAACTCCCAAATTAGTAGTGGCAGTGGCCGATACTGTGACAGTACGTAGTAGAAGGGGTTTAGGGTTCAGGGTTTAGGGCAGAAGTCGTCGTCGTTGTTGTGGTTGAGGTTGTTTGTCAGCTATGCTCTGCGATGACAGAACATTCAAGAGTTTTGAGTTTCAGGGCTTACATCCTGCAAGCTGGAAGTTCAGTTTGACGTTTAGACAGTTTTCGAGTTTAGGGTTTTCAGGTTCTGGGGCCGGATATTTTGATTTTTTGTGATGGTTTGAAGTTAGGTTTTTTGGGGTTCTGGGGTCATGTCGAAGCCATTATCCCTAAGCGTTACTGCAGCCATTTCTGGAGGTAAGCACTGCTCTATTGCGACCCGGACCACAGGGCAGACGACAAGAGCTTCAACCATTCAGCAAGCGCTCGTCCAAGATACAAGCCAAAGCTGAAATAGGCAGAGAACTGTGTACAGACCTTTCGCACAAAGTTTCTGCCGCAATAACGAGCACGAGCTCTACTTTACATGTCTATGTGTTTATTCAAGAACTCCACACGCAAACCCTTAGCCCGTCAACCTTACTCTCAAATCTTAACCCTACCTTCCAAACCCTGAACCCTGACTTCGCAAACACAGATTTTGGAAACCTGCTCAAGTTAAGCCTTTAAGGCGTAAGCCTTAAGCCTCAGCCTTTCCGAACAATGGTCCGCGTCGCCGTGCTTGGCGCGGGCTGCATCGGGCAATGGGTCGGTAGCCAAGTGTTGTTGATATGAAGCAGTAGGGTTTGCATTGCATTGTGGTAGATGGGAGTTTCCGAACATAGGGGACCCTAATATAGTACCCTACATAGTAGGATCCTGATTATAAGGACCCCAAAATAAGGCACCGCTACTGTATCTTCGGAAACTCCCATAACCCTAAACCCTAAACCCATAACCCTAAACCCTAAACCCTTAAGCCCACTTTACAGGATCGACCTTCCAGTTTCTGAAAGGGAGACATTCTATCCATGGACTTAGTGACTAGGGCTCCTTAAAGGGCTCCTTTAAAGGGATCTATGGGGTTCCTTAAAGGGATCTACAGGGTTTAGGGTTCAGGGTTTAGGGTCTACTTGGAGGATCATGGAACTTAGTAACTAGGGTTATAGTTAAGGTAGCTTTACTTATAATCACTGGTAGCCCCACTTAAGGTACTTATAACCATACCTACTACGTCCCATGATCCTCCACGTAGGGAGCCAGGCCTGTGTTTATGGTTGCGGACAGAGACTCAAATTGTCAAATGCACCGTTTCCCTGCTACGCACCTAGCAAAACTTTCCTGGATTCCTCCTAAATTGGAGTTTCCCAAAATAGTATGGGTCCCTAAATAGTAGGATCCTTATTATAGGCCCAAAATAAGGTACCCCTAATTTTCGGAAACTCTAACCCCTCATATAGAACCCGGACCGTTCTAGTACCCTTAGAAACCCTTTAAAGGAGCCCCAAAATAAGGTACCCCTAATTTTCGGAAACTCCCCCAAACCCTAAACCGTTCGAAATCCGCGGCATTCTGGACTGCGAGGTCAGTGTTTGGGGATGGCGGTTTGGAGATTAATCTTAGGGACGCAAAAAGCACATAAGCATAAGCATTTTATGGGGATATCCCGACCATATCGGGCTTCATGATATGGGGGTTTATATGGGATATCGTTGTCCTGAGTTTTACTTATGTGCTGAATTGGGGCCCTATAGTCCATGGTTTGCGGTCGATGGGCGTCAGGATTTGGAGTCTAGAGTGTAAGGCCCTTGGGTTCAGGGTAGAGGGTTTTAGAGGTTTAGGGTTTTGGTGTTTAGGGTATAGGGTTTAGGGGTGTGGCAAGATGTCGATTTCAGTAGAGATTGGGCTGCTCAGCGGCAAGACAGTCAGCATGAAAGCCGACTTGAATGAAGAAGTGGGAAGTCTGAGCCGCCGGGCACAGATCTCACTCGGAGTCGGAAGGGGGCGGCTCATGGACTCATCTGGAAGCATGTTGGATGCATCTGCACCGATCAAGCGTGCTAGGCTGCAGACTGGTGATGCACTGACCCTGCATGTGAACAGAGTTACACTTCAAGCCTGTGACGAAGCTTTTGCCGCCATTCTTGGCGATGGATCGGTCGTGACCTGGGGTGATGCTGAATGTGGTGGGGACAGTAGTGCCGTGCAGGACCAGCTTAAGAACGTGCAGCAGATCCAAGCCTCTCGCAGCGCTTTTGCTGCCATTCTTGGCGATGGATCGGTCGTGACCTGGGGTCATGCTGCCTTCGGTGGTGACAGTACTGCCGTGCAGAATCAGCTAAAGAACGTGCAGCAGATCCAAGCCTCTGAAGGTTCTTTTGCTGCCGTTCTTGGCGATGGATCTGTCGTGAGCTGGGGTTTTGGTGCCTCTGGTGGTGACTTCAGGGCCGTGCAGGATCAGATCAAGAACGTGCCGCAGATCCAAGCCTCTGGCCTCGCTTTTGCTGCCATGCTTGGCGATGGATCGGTCGTGACCTGGGGTGTTGCTTACGGAGGCGGTGACAGTAGTAGTAGTGCCGTGCAGCATCAGCTCAAGAACGTGCAGCAGATCCAGATCCAAGCCTCTCAAAACGCTTTTGCTGCTATTCTTGGTGATGGATCGGTCGTGACCTGGGGTGATGCTGAATGTGGTGGGGACAGTAGTGCCGTGCAGCATCAGCTAAAGAACGTGCAGCAGATCCAAGCCTCTCAAAACGCTTTTGCTGCCATTCTTGGCGATGGATCGGTCGTGACCTGGGGTGATGCTGAATGTGGTGGGGACAGTAGTGCCGTGCAGGACCAGCTTAAGAACGTGCAGCAGATTCAAGCCTCTCGCAGCGCTTTTGCTGCCATTCTTGGCGGTGGATCGGTCGTGACCTGGGGTGATGCTGAATGTGGTGGGGACAGTAGTGCCGTGCAGGATCAGCTAAAGAAAGTGCAGCAGATCCAAGCCTCTGAAAACGCTTTTGCTGCCATTCTTGGTGATGGATCGGTCGTGTCCTGCGGTGATGCTGAATGTGGTGGGGACAGTAGTGCCGTGCAGGATCAGCTAAAGAACGTGCAGCAGATCCAAGCCTCTCAAAACGCTTTTGCTTCCATTCTTGGTGATGGATCGGTCGTGACCTGGGGTGATGCTGAATGTGGTGGGGACAGTAGTGCCGTGCAGGACCAGCTTAAGAACGTGCAGCAGATCCAAGCCTCTCGCAGCGCTTTTGCTGCCATTCTTGGCGATGGATCGGTCGTGACTTGGGGTCGTGTTGCCTCTGGTGGTGACAGTACTGCCGTGCAGGATTTGCTGCAATTCATGTAGATTTGTAGTAGTTAGGTCTCACGGTCTTTGACGTAAGACGCGCACGGTATTTGCAAAAATGTGTCGTCGAAGCACGGGCGACAGACCTGTAACATATGCGCTCGCGCAGGGTCCCTACTTCCAACCCACTTTCGGATTGAAAGGCTGGAAACGCTTAACATTGTCTCCAGGGGCCCGCAGCAGGACATAAGCATACACATTTGGCAGGGATATCATTACCTCACCGGGCTCTATGATAAGGGGGGTTATATGAGAAATCCGAAGCAAGTAACTTTGGTTATGTGCTTTTTTTGGAGCTCTAGCTTGGGGTTTAGGCTTTCGGTTTCCCTGACTCTGCGACTGATGTTTTCGATCCGCACGGGACTTCGAGATCCTAGATCCAAGACAGGGTTTAGGGTTAGGGTTTAGGGTTTAGGGTTACCCTAATATGGTAGGATGCCCAGTAGTACCCTTATTCCCTTTTTGTAGTCCTAGGTTCCTTATAAAGTTACCCAATACCAAAAAGAGAGGCCTTTTTATTCTTAGGTTACTGGGTATCCTAGTTAGAGGATCATGGGACTTAGTAGCTCGGGTTATGATTCAGGTAACTTAAGGTACTTATAGCCATACCTGCTAAGTCCCATGATCCTCCAAGTAGAGGTTCAGGGTGCAGGGGGCGTAGGGTAGTGTTTACTACGGCACAGTCTTGAGCCACCAGTCAGGCTACAATACAAACACCCCAAACCCAAGCCCAAGCCGAAACCGATGCCCCAACGGAAACGTTAAAGACCCCTCGAGGATCATGGGACTTAGTAAGTAGGTTATAATTGGGGTTATAAGTCCCCTAAGTGGGGTTATCCTAATTATAACCTACTTATAACCTTACTTACTAAGTCCCATGAGCCTTTAAGCAGAAATCCGTGTAGGGGCTCAAAGCTCGTATGCTCGCCCTCGCCATGCCCTCGCCACCCGTCAACTGTCATCCGGAAACCTGAACCAAGGCTAGGATGCCCAGTGGTACCCTTATTCCCTTTTTGTAGTCCTAGGTTCCTTATAAAGTTACCCAATACCAAAAAGAGAGGCCTTTTTATTCGTAGGTTACTGGGTATCCTAGAAGGGTTTAGGGTTTAGGGTTTAGGGTGAAACCTGAATCACAAACCCTTAACTCAAGAACCAGACAACCCCCCACAAAAGTCTTACAGATATAGCAAATTATATAACCCTTACCCCGTGTGGGTGGGGCCGTTCCCACCCATGATTGGGTGCCTGGGCAGTGAGATGCCCGGCAGCCTTTACACCCGCACTTGGCCAAACAAGGAGAGTGGGCTGTCAAGGGCTCTGGCCAGCCACAGCTAGCCCTGAAATCCACTAGAATACCTTGATTCTCCCCGTGATGTGAACACCCCAACCAACGGCCAAATTTGGGTGTTTTCCCGCACCCAAAACGGGCCCTCGAAAAAGGTGGCCGCCCTGCCCGTCCTGCCCTGCTGGCCTGCTGCCCTGCCTTACGCCTGCCTAGCCCCCGCCGTGTCTGCTCGCTGTGGGAATTGAGGGCGTAAGCCCTAAACCCTAAACCCCAAACGTGAAGCCTTAATCTCCCTAAACCCGAAACCCTGCTATAGGGGCCTAAATAGTTACTCATAGTATGGCGGGGTTCCTTATTACAATAAAAGTGTAATGGGCCCCTAAATGGGCCCCTAAAACCGTATTCTAATTGTTAAGGCCCCTGTATTAATCCCAGAGTCCCCCGATTCCTTAAGCAACCCCCCCACCAGGTCGGAGGCCACCTCGCGCTGCGAGGCGTGGATGTGCCTGGGCGTGTTTTTTGATGTTGTCTGTTCTTAAAGATGGGTTTAGGGATTAGGGCTCGGGAGTTTAGTGGTATAGGGATTAGGGCTTAGGAGTTTAGGGGTTTAGGGCGTAGGAGTTTAGGGGGTTTAGGGTTTTCCGGGTTGTTTTTCGGGGTTTGATTTGATTTGGGGTTTCGAGGTTTTGTATTCGAGATCAGTGCTGCTGGTTTAAGTGGAGGTTTAAGATAAGATGATAGCTACCTTTATGCTTGGCACGGTGTTGTATTTGGTTTGTATTGTCTGTATTTGACGGCTTGCATTCCTAATCGCAGACTGCAAGCATTGCCATCACCCTGTACGGGATTTACGCACCTGGCTTTAATCACTTTAATCACCATTTTGTAGTGTTTTTTTGCCACGGTTCTCTGGTCATCGCCATGATTTTCACCATCCGGCTGTTGGTACATGTCATATAGGTATCATATAGCTTTGGATGTTTAGTAATTCGGAACCGGCACTTTTGTCATTCCAATTTCAGAGAACAGCCTCGAATATGGCACGCTCCTTAGCCGCATTCTCTGGCGATCCCCAGAGATCGATTGAGTGGTTTAGGGTTTTAGGGTTTAGGGTTTAGGGTTTAGGATTTAGGGTTTAGGGTTTAGGGTTTAGGGTGAAAGATGGGAAGCTGCCGGATGGGTGAGGGCTTCGACCGTGCTCGAAGGCGCCCCTGTGCTAGCGTGATTCATATGGCCAGCTGAAAAGCTGCCTATCACTGCCTATCAGCATGAAAGGTCCCGCCATTACGGTCGTTTGCCCTAAACCCTAAACCCTAATCCGTGCAGCTTTCTTTTAGAGTGCGGGATGCAGTGCAAGAGTGCGTCTGGGCTGAAACAAGCGTCCGCGTGCGCGCATGCACTCGAGTTCCTCGATCTAGAGGAGCGTTCTCGCCTGCGACTCGCGTAATATAGGGGCCTAAAGGGAACTCCAGAAAGTTGGAATATGGTTTCAGGGTAGGATACCCTATAATTTACCATAAAGGGTTTAGGATAATCATATTCCAACTTTCTGGCTTTTACTTTAAATAATTACCAATACCATTGCGGGGGATTGGGGGGTTCCTTATTGTATCTATAGAAAAGTACGCCCCGCAACCCTATTCTGATAAGAAAGGCCCCTATATCAATAGGATTTCTCACGACATGAATCAGAGGCCGTGAGTAGGTACTCTACTGCCTGAGCTGTATGGGTTAAGACGATGTACGTGTTTAGGCGTTCGTGCAACTATGAGCCTTACATTCCAAACTACGCTTCTTGCTTTGCAGCGTTGCTTTTAGACTTTCTGTCTGGTACTCTGTGGTCTACTGAGGGGTCGAAGTTGTTGCTTTCGGTGTTCGGGTTCAGCCCGATCTCAAAACCCATAAAGCCCCAACCGGTACATAATCGGAAGCCTTACATCGAAAAACCCTTGGGCTTAACCGTGTTGTCTAGAGTTTCAGAACCATCAGAACGACCGCATCCGCATGCGCAGAAGCTGTGGCCCTGAATCCAAGTACAGCTATTCTCACAGTTTCGTATCCCTAAACCCTCCACAAACCCTCCTATACCCCAAAACCTAAACTTTAAAACAAGCGCACCGAGCCCCGACCCGATGGAAGTCGTTGAAACGCCTCTGACATGTCTGATACTTTCAATCCAAAACGCGGAGGCGTGGAACCCTAATAAACCCTAAACCCTACTAGCCCTAAGTCCCACACCCTAGCCCTTCAACCCTGAACCCTAAGCCCTAATCTTGATTGGCTGTAAACTAGGCTTTTCAACTTTTGGGGTTCTTACTAGGTGGTCGATTTTCAATTTTAAATTGTATTTTCCTCGGGTATTGGGCCAGTGAGAAACGCTACAGCCTTCGACACGACCTCAAGCCGTATCCACCTGTGTGAGCAAACCCTAAACCCTGAACCCTAAACCTTGGATACTGCCCCCACTCAGTATCAGTTGGATAATAGTAGCCTTATTATGGAACCCTAAACCCTAAACCCTAAACCCTAATTACTGTATGGGGGCCGTAAACCTAAACCTGAAACCCGCCGGATCCTCATCGAGGTGCTTCTGGTGGGCAAGGGCCTCCTAGTCTGGGGCCCCAGCAATTAACGGTTTAGGGTTTAGGGTTTAGGGTGTCGTTTTCAAAAATTCGAATATGGCATGATGCCCCATAGCATGTAAGAACGATTCCTCAACTAAGATACTTCAGGGGTTTGCGGTCTTCAGCTTTTTTGCGGCTTCTTCGGGCTTCTGGATTTGGAGCTTGATTGCGGTGGAGGGTTTCCGGGTTTAAGGTCTCTGTTTCAGAGGGCTCCAAGGGTGGCATGAAGCGGGGCGGGATAATCCCATAAAGGGAACTCCAGAAAGTTGGAATATGGTTTCAGGGTAGGATACCCTATAATTGACCATAAAGGGTTTAGGATAATCATACTCCAACTTTCTGGCTTTTACCGTATAGGAGTGCTCATATAAGGGATCCTTCACTCTACCGACCTTCATCCCACCTTTTGAGGCCGCCGACTGTTGTCGGGGTTTCAGGATTTCTATCTTCTGGACTTGCTTAAAGGCTCATGGGACTCAGTAAGTAAGGTTATAAGTAGGGTATAATTAGGATATAACCCCACTTAGGGGACTTATAACCCCAATTATAACCTACTTACTAAGTCCCATGATCCTCCAAGTGGGGTTCTGGGAGTTCTGAGTTGGGTTCCTGAGCCGGACCAGCGCCACTACCATCACCTCCCTGCCAAAAGGCTCAGGGCACAGGTGCTGTACTCCCCTCAAATTCGATACTCTTTGAGGGTATACTGTAGAAAAATTAGAATTTGAAGCCCTAAGGACTTGCATTAATTGTTCTGACCTCTACTTGGAGGTTCATGGAACTTAGGAACTGGAGTTATGATTCAGGTAACTGTACTTATAACTACTTATCAGCCCCCCACTTAGGGTACTTATAAACACACATGCTTAAGTATCTTGCGGCCCTAGAGTGACAGCTCGAGGTGCAAGACTTCAGGCTCGTAAACACGCGAAGTTCATGATGGTCATAATGTAGGGGCCTTTTTAATAATTAGAGTTGTTGGAGTAGAGTTTGGGGGCCCCTTCTCGTAATTATAGTATAATATACCACCAACCCCTACTCTACTTTTATTATGGCCCCTATAGTAAGCTGTTGGGGCTTGTCGGAGGAGTCTCGCATATTCGGTTTTGAGGCGCCAGAATCGTAAACTTCTAACCTACCATACTTGGAGGATCATGGGACCGAGTAAGTACCGTTATAAGTGCCCGAAGTGGGTTATAAGTAGTTGTAAGTACAGTTACCTGAATTATAATCCTAATTACTAAGTCCCGTGATCCTTCCAGTAAGCCCTGAATGCGTGAATTCGTGCAACACGACGCACCCGCCCCCAGTTTGGCCCCATGTTTACAGCTCCCGGGAAAAACCCCGATGTTAACGACAAAAGGACTTCACAAACCCTTCAACTACACCTACATTGAGCCCAAGCTCTAAACCCAGATGAAGCGTCACTAGAAGTGTCCCAGTGCAGTCCCGAAAAGATTATAATATATATATATATAGAGAGAGAGAGAGAGAGAGAGAGAGAGAGAGAGACAGAGAGTTTACGACACGGCACAACCGTAGTCTTGTCAGACATGATCACCCCGAACAGCACAACAACATCCCAGGAAGCATGTGAAGCGTTATTCTAAAGCATCGAATGACCCCCAAACCCCAAACCACCACCAAAACACAAAAAATCCTGCAAAACCCCACGCCCGTAAACCCTTACACTGCCCATCCTCAAGGAAGCCCATTAATAAAGGAGCCCTAAGGAATCCTACCAAGGAGCCGTGAAGGATCCTTGAAAGGCGCCAAAAAGATCCTACGTTCAACGCTGAGACCCTAAACCCTAAGCCCTACTTGGAGGATCATAGGACTTAGTAAGGAGGTTATAACTGGGGTTATAAGTCCCCTAAGTGGGGTTATCCTAGTTATACCCTACTTATAACCTGACTTACTAAGTCCCATGAGCCTTTAAGTACCCAGAGGCCCCACAGTAGTTCCTTTTGGGGATTAGCTTTTAGAATTCTATATATGAACGCCAAAACGGAACTACTGTGGGGCCTATTATGGGTACACCCTGAGACCCTAAGACCCTAAACCCTAAGACACCAAAATCGTGAGACCTTACAAGATCCTACAAAAACAGACCCCACTTTAAAGGAGCCTTGAGATCCTACTAAAAAAGACCCCCTTAAGGAGCGCACCGTGAAGTCTGGCAGCCTCCGGCTGACGGACGTTGAAAGGGATGCCGCAGGCTGGCGAATGTACTCGTTTTGGTTTAGGATATTTTTGTTTGTTTAAGGTTCAGGATACATGGTTTAGGGTTTAGGATGTAACGTTTCGAGTTTAGGGTTTAGGAGGTAGTTTTTTTTAAATAGGGCTTAGCACCTGGGGTTTAGATTTGTTTTGGGCGGCTTCCTGTGCGTTTAATCTGTGGGCTTTTACACATTTTGTGACTGTCATACAGCCGAGGGGATGAGGCAGATGGGTTACAAGGGGCCCCCACCCTGTAATAGTGGTACAATGGGAATAAAATAGGAATAGAATAAGGCCCTAGTATAATCCTTATAGTCACTATTACAGGGTGGGGGCAGCTTCTAACAGATGGGAGTTTCCGAAATTTAGGGGTACCTTATTAGGGGGCCCTTATAGTAAGGATCCTACTATTTAGGGGTACTGTATTAGGGGCCCTTATAAGATCTTCAGTCCACGGCCTTTCGATGGCGCTGTTTTCTTTGTGGGTTTGTGTAGTTGCACCGGTTTTGGGATTTTAGGGTTTTAGGGTTCACGACAGCGGTGTTCAAGGATGTTCGATTATGGTGCAAAGTGTTTCCAAGGGTTGGCTTTGGGCTTCACAGTGTATTGTAGGTCTGGAGTTAGTTTCGGAATTCCGGTTCTGGGGGTTGCTGTTCGGGAAGAAGCGTTTAGGGTTTAGTTTCGGCTGGCTAAGGGTCTACGGCATCGTGGCGTCGTAGGGTTTCGGGTTCCAGGGCGGGGGCTTCTGCTACATTTCGTCAAGGGTCCACACATCTAATGTCAGATGTTCTCCCAAAGGCTAACCAACAAGCATTTTACCCTAAACCCTAAACCCGAAGCACTTTTTGCACCGTGAGGGATCATGATTGGTTTAGGATCTCGTTGTGGGGCTTAGGGGGTTTTGGGGTTCAGGGCTCCTACCTCGTGCCCCAGAGGCCAGATTTTGCATTTTTCCAGCACTCCCCCCACATTCTGCCCCCAACCACGGGTTTGCCACAATTCGCCAATACTTAGACCCTAAACCTCTGCTCTGCACCCCCGACCACTGGGCGCTCTTGCTTGCTCACAGACGTCACCTGCAGGCACACGTGGCGGATGGTTGCCGATATGAGGGCCCACCAGGGTCCGTTCCAGACCATCTCGGTGGCGTTCTTTTGACACAGGACGAGCGTTCTTTTTCCAAGGAAAAAGAACGGCCGATTTTGGGGTTTCGGAGTGGTCTGCAACAACCCCAAATTGGTTGCAAAACCGCCCGTGTGGACCTTCATAGTCGCCGAAAACCCTGAAGTGCTTGAGCTGGCGCAAAAGCTCGTCCAGCAACTGTGTGGTGGTCAGGGTTTGGAAATACAGCTACTTGGAGGATCATGGACTTAGTAGCTAGGGTTATTATTCAGTACCTATACTTATAGTTTCTTATAACCCCACTTACCATACTTACTAAGTCCCATGATCCCCCAAGTAGAGCTACCAGCAAGTGGCTGTGGATCAGAGCAGAGTCGCCTAAACCCCAAACCCTAAACCCCCAACCTCAAACCCTAAACCCCTAAACCCCAAAACCCCTAAACCCTAAACCCCTAAACCCTAAACCCCTAAACCCCTCCCCTAAGCGTCTGAGTGTGAAAGATCGGCTTGAAGAAGACACCTGCGACAGCAGCGAGAGGCAAGCTCAACTCAGGTTTCGGATTCGACTGGAACCGCAAAGAAGACGGTTAATGTAGTGGCCTTTATAAGTACCTATACTTTTTTGGTGGGTTCCTCATTATAATTTTGGTATAATGGGCCATTCTAATTATTACGGCCCCTATTTTAGGGCTCAGCCATGCTAGCCCCGACGGGTTTGAAGGTGTAGGGGCTTCATGGATATCTAGGATTTTAGGTTTTGGGGTTTAGCCCTGGAGCCCTGAATGCTGCAAACAGCAATGTACCCAATCAAGCCCAAAGTGCGCCGCAAGCCTTTCTAGATTTTCAGATTACCCCAAGCCACAAACCCTAAACCCTAAACCCCTAAATGGGGGTTTCCGACATGGGGGACCCTAATATAGTACCTTCAATAGTAGGATCCTTATTATAGGGACCTCAAAATGAAGTACCCCATGTTTTCGGAAACTCCCAAATCCTAAACCCCAAACCCTACACCCCAAACCCCTAAACCCTCAGCGCCAAACCCCAAACCAAGCCCTGAAACCCTTTACAGTCGAAAGCCCTGAGTCAGCTTCTGCCGGAAGCCCTAAGCAATAGTATAGGGGCCTTAATAATTAGACTAGGGTTCCCTTAAAGGAGGTGTATAAAGGGGTTCTATGAGGGGTCATAGTAGGGTTCTATAATAGAGGGGCCTTAATAATTAGAATAGGGTTTCGGGCCCATGGTACGGTAATTTTAATAAGGAGCCCCCCAAAACAGTGTAGGTAATTATTGAGCCCCCTATAGTAAGCCCCAAGATACAGCCTGAGCCCGAAGCCCTGGACTTTCAATTTAAGCCCTAAGCCCCAAGCCCTGAAGCCTTTGGAGTATAGCTTAGAAGGGGCCCCCACCCTGTAATAGTGACTATAAGGATTATAGTAGGGCCCGATTATATTCCTTCGAAACCACTATTATAGGGTGGGGGCCCCTTCTAAAGTATAGCCCTATGGTGAAACCATATTTGAGTCTTTTGAGCCTTGACAAAGGATTCGACGAGTCTTTGCAGCTTCCCGACCACCCGCACTTGACCGCCAAATTCGACCTCGAGGCGTGTTTTCTTCTTTTGTTGGCTTGAGGGTTGGGCTGTAGTTGGGCTCAGGGTTTCGGGTTTGTGGGCTTGAAGGGTTTGGGGATGTAGACGTGAGGTCGAGGGCTTGGGCACTAGGCTCTTGGGTGATCTTCGTGTTTCGGCTTAAAGAAAACCCTTAAGCCTAAACATTCTGCTCATCAATCCGACACGCTGCTTGAACATTGAGAATCATTGGCACTTGGTAAGGTATCATCAGTTTTTGCAAACCCCATTTCCTAAACCTAAGGTAGAAGCCCTAAGCCCAAAACCTCAAAGCCTTGACCCCGAAAGCACCAGAGCCAGATCAGCCTACACCCTACTTGGAGGATCATGGGACTTAGTAAGTAGGTTATAATTGGGGTTATAAGTCCCCTAAATGGGGTTATCCTAATTATAACCTACTTAGAACCTTACTTACTAAGTCCCATGAGCCTTTAAGTAAGCCTCTAAGCCTCAAAGCCCCAAACCTACATCCGGAGACCCGAAAGGCTGACGCGCTAAAAACCTCCGACTCCTAGTCCTTAGTGGAACTTTTTTTGGGCTTCAGGGTTTTGGGTTTTGGGTTTAGGGTTTAGGGTTTTGGGTTTAGGGTTTAGGGTCCTGTAGACCTCCATAGATCCTTGAGAAGGAACCCCAAACCCTAAACCCTCAACCCCACTGCAGAACCTTTTTGGGGGTAGAGTCGTACGTAGAGTGACCCGCTTAGTAGGCCTTTGAGGGTGCCTAAATTATTGACCAATACTATTTTGGGGGTTCCTTAGTACAATCGACCCCAAGGGCCTATTCTAATTATTAAGGCCCCTATATTAGGGTTTAGGGTTTAGGGTTTAGGGATTATAGAACCCTACTATGACCCCTCATAGAACCGCTTTAGACACCTCCTTTAAGGGAACCCTAGTCTAAGTATTCAGGCCGCTATATTGTAGAACCCTGCTATGATCCCTTACAGAACCCCTTATGGACCTCCTTCAAGGGAACCCTCGTCTAATTATTAAGGCCGCTCTATTTAACACTGTTTGAGCTCTTATAGATCCCTTTAAGGAGCCTTATAAGGACCCCTTTAAGGGACCATTAGGATCCTCTAAGTAAGCACTGTTTGAGCTTCGCTCTAAGGAGGCCCTGAAGTCGGATGACTTCCTCGCCGTTTTCGTTTGCTTGAAGTTGGGCGCCTGTCTCAGTTGTCGGGGATCTATTTGGGGTTTCCGAAAATAGGGGCACCTTGTTTTGGGGTCCTTATATTAAGGTTCCTGTTATTTAAGTAAGGTGTCCCCTATTTTCGGAAACTCCCATTTGAGGAGGATTTGGGTTCAGGGTTTAGGGTCTACCCTGGCGTTTAATGTGACGCTTGCAAAAAAAACCGCACCTCGAATTGCGGTGATCCGAGGTGAATCCGGGACTCGGGCACTTTCACTAGGATGCCCAGTAGTACCCTTATTCCCTTTTTGTAGTCCTAGGTTCCTTATAAAGTTACCCAATACCAAAAAGAGAGGCCATTTTATTCTTAGGTTACTGGGTATCCTAGTTCACCTTTGAGGTGAACCCTAGAAACCCTAAAACCCACGGCACTGGGCTCTTAAAGGGGATCCTACTCTAGAGCCCTTGTGGTAGCCCTGAAAGGGGACTCCATGATAAAATCCTACTTGGAAGATCATGGGACTTAGTAACTCAGGTTATAATTAAGGTAACTATACTTATAATTACTTATAACCCCACTTAGGAGACTCAGAGCCTTACTGACTAAGTCCCATGATCCTCCAAGTACAGTACCCTTTAAAGCAAGCCTTCAAGGAATCCTTGAAAGAACGAGTTCAGGAGCCGGTTCGCCACCCTCGTGAACTTTTTTGGGGCGCCTTGAAGCCTGGGCGTTGACGAGCGGAATACCCTAAGGCCCCAAAGTACAGTAGAAGCCAAAAAGTTGGAAACCCCATAGCCTCAGTCCTTAAGAGTAATGTATAGGGAATCCCAGCACTATTTGGCCTTAATCCGGTTTCCAACTTTATGGGGTCTACTATAGTTCCTTTTTGGGGTTCATATGTAGACTCCTATAAGGTAATCCCCAAAAGGAACTACTTTGGGGCCTATGGTTAAGTATGTAGAACCGGCGGTGGAGGTGGGTTTGGGGGTTTAGGTTTGCGGCTGTGGGGTTTCAGGGCTTGGGGGGTTTAGGCGGCTTATGAGGGAAGGACATGGTTCCACCAGGCCCTGCGTTCATGAGGAACGCAATGGATTCGCTGGAGGTGGGTGTCGATCTGATTGGGTTTAGGCTTTAGGCTTTAGGCTTTAGGCTTCAGGCTTTAGGCTTTAGGGTTTAGGGTTTAGGGTGAATTACAAGAAAGGGTCGGCACCCTAAACCCCAAAACCTTATATGAACCAGAGAAGCCCAAGGCGACAATGACCTCGCAGCGTCTCTCGGTACCTTGAAGAAGGACACCGCAGCTCGACCCGGTGCAGCAGATTTAGAGTACAGGGTTCAGGATTTGGGGTTTAGGGTTTAGGGTTCAGGGCTTAGGGTTCAGGGTTTAAGGTTCTGGGTTTAGGGTTCAGGCTTAAGGGTGTAGGGTTTAGTGCAGATGTTTTGTCTGGTGGTGTGTTTGTGGTAGCTTTTGCTGTAGGGATTGACAGAATCAAGGGTGTTTAACATGTAGGGTCATGCATTCTATTCTAAACCCCAAACCCTAAACCCCTGAACCCCTAAGACCCAAAACCCTAAACCCTAAACCCCAAACCCAAAACCCTAAGCCCCTAAACCCTAAACCCTAAACCCTTAAAACCCTAAACCCCAAACCCTAAACCCTAAACCCCTTGCAGTATTTGCCTTAACAGTGGTCCAAACGAGGATCGTTAGCTGCGACGTACATCGATGAGCTCTTTCGAGATTGCATTAAGGTTAAGGGTGCATATGAGTGGTTGTCGTCATAATTAGGGTCCCTTTTTGGGTACCCTAATTTTCAGGTGCCGTACTATAATAAGGACCCAGAAAGGGACCCTAATTTTGACAACCACCCATATACCCGCGTATCTTACCGGCAGAAGTTTAGGGTTCAGGGTCCATATAGCCGCGTAACTTGCTGGCGGAACTGGCGAAAGGATCTCACCATCTATTTTAGGTACGCTCCTTACTGACGTTATGGTATCTTCAAGTACTTAAAGGCTCATGGGACTTAGTAAGTAAGGTTATAAGTAGGTTATAATTAGGATAACCCCACTTAGGGGACTTATAACCCCAATTATAACCCACTTACTAAGTCCCATGATCCTCTAAGTAGACCCTAAACCCTATAGATCTCTTTAAGGAACCCTCTAGATCCCTTTAAGGAGCCCTTACTAAGTCCCATGATCCTCTAAGTAGGTCAGCCCACACCCAGGTCATCATCTCGATGCAGAACGGCATGACCCTGAGCATGCTCAGCTTGCGCATTAGGGTCCGACCCGAACCAAAAAAAGCACAAACCCTAAACCCCAAACCCCAGACCCTAAACCCCTACACCCTAAACCCCAAACCCTCAACTCCAAATCCTAAACCCTAAACCCTAAACCAAAAACCAAAACTATAACCCTAAACCTATGCAGCGTCCTCAGAGGTTTGGGAGTTAGGATTAGGGGGACCCTTGGGGATATAGACCCTCTCAATAGGACCCCTTTACGAGAGCCAGAAGTAGGGTTCAGAAGGGGTACCCTTTAAGGGGTCTCCCTAATAATACTACCCAAGGTTGGAATAAGTAGTAAGAGGACACCTCTTCGAGTCCCTTAAGCCCTAGACCTGAAGACCCCTAAACTTTAAACCTTAAGCCACTAAACCTTGAAGCCTAAACCCAGAATAAGCGAGCAAGTAGACTTCGGAGCAGTCGGATTGCTCAGCGTCTTAAGTTTTACGAGAATCATAGGGGCACTAAAAACTGCAAGATGCTTCTTTCAAAGGGTTGTAGAAGGGTTGAAGGATTTAGGGGTTATGGACATCGAAGCCCGATCCCGGTTCAGGGTGTTGGTTGTAGAGTTTCAGGTTTAAGATTTAGGTTTTTGTTTTATGTTTTAGGTCTACGGTTGGTTAGCCTGACAGACACCCTTCTTCCCAATCCAGGAAGACGCTCCAATCCTTCCTAGAGTGTTCTCTGCTCTAGTCTTAATGAACCAAGAAGAAGCAGGGGTCTTATGCACTTTGGGGCATTAGCCCCAAACCCTAAACCCCAAAGCCCCGCTGGAAGCCTAGGAAACCACATCCTTAATCCTCCTTGCTTTATGACCCTTATACAAGCCCTTAAACCCTACCTCAACCCTGAATAACCTACCTTTTTAGGGTTCCTTATTATGATTTCTTTATATAAGTCCTTAAAAAGGTAGGTTCCTTAGGGTCCAGGTAAACCTTACTTACGAAGGCATGTGCCTTCAAGGGGCTAAGGTCGACCCCATCTCAGACGATAGATTGGAGTCTCGCGGCCTTGAACCCTACACCCCAAGCCCTAAAGCCCTAACCCTAAAACCATACCCGTAAACATCAAACCCCAAAGGCTAGATTCACTAAATCAATAAACCCTAAGACCTTAAACCAAAACCCCTTCGCCCTTAAATCCGGAACTCTACAGTGCTTCTGTGAAAAACGGTGTGGAGGCATCGACAACAAGAAGAAGCTGGCCAAGCTGTTGCCGGAGCCTCCCGGCCCAAGTTTAGGTGATTGGTGTATGTTATAGTCGTTTAATGACTAGAGCGTATAGACTAGGCTTAGAGATTTCGGGCATATTACAGTACAAAGGACAAAGGAACATATCGTTACGATAATCGAAGTCGGCTCGGAGTGCGGGTGTTGTAGTCGAGGTTTGAGGGTTTAGGTCTTCGGGTTTAGTGGTCAAGGGAGGGGTTCTGGTTCAGGCTTGGGTTCTTTCAGACTTGCAGGGTTTGCTTTATGGGTGCTTTCGGTTTGAAGTGGTTGAGCCGAGAGTGACAAAGTTCTTGGAGCTACTTCCAAAACCCACAACAACAGACTTGTGTTGATAGCTCGCTCAGTGAGCGGTATGTTTGCGGTCCTCAGGGTTTGCCCTGTGTTGAAGCGAAGCCCGTCTCTAAACCTTGAACAGTAAAACCCGGTTGCGTATCCCACCATGATGTTGGGACATGAAGCGTTGGCCCTGGAGGGTGTTTCTTCAAATTCGGCGTCCTTTCCTTCGGTGGTACTTATACGGGCAAGGATCCTAATTACTCTTTAAGATGTACATTAGAGTTGCATACCATGTCCTTGCCTGAGGTGTTGACACTCTCAGGGTTAAGGGCTCAGCAACTGCATTCAAGACGACGCCACAATAGCCAAAACCCGGCCGAAACGGCAAACCACAAGCTTTAAACTTCAAACAGATCTCCAAGCCCTACAACCCAACAATCCACGAAACGATGAACCCTTGACCCTCAAAGCCAAATCCCCACGCCGGAAGCCTCCGCCTTTGTAGCAACAAAATACAAGAAACGAGTCTTCTCTTCACTTGAAGACTTCTAGTTCTCCCTAAGGCAAGGGTCTGGGGGCCCCCAACAAACCCAAACCCCCAAACCGGAAACGCCAAACCCTAAACTAAGCCTTAAATCAGGAAAAAAAATTCCCCCAACCCGAAACCCTAAACCCTAAACCTCAAGCTACACCCTAAATTAGGGTAAATCCCCACCCCGCCCGCCCCCCCCCCCCCCCCCAACCCGAAACTCAAGGCACCCCATCGTCGGCGGCATGGTTCCCTACGGCGTCATCGAGGTGCCCTCGCGAGCAAACTGGGATGCCCTGCTTCGTGTCATGGTTTACTATAGGACTCCTTTAAAGGGGTCGATCAGGGATCTATAAGGGTATTATAATATAGGGGCCTAAATAATTCAAAACCCATTCTACTTATTAAGGCCCCCATATTAGGGTCAAGGGTCTAGGGTTGGGGGTTTAGTGTTTGGGGTGTAGGGTTCCGGGTTTGGGTTTTAGGGTGATGGGTTAAGGGTTCGGGGTTTCGAGTCTAGGGCTTGGGGTTAGGATCTTGGCGCTCGAAACAACAAGGTCCCTCACCTCTTGAAGCCCTTGATGTCCGATTACCCTAAACCGAAACCCCTAACCCTAAACCCTAAACCCTCAACCCTAAACCCTCAACCCTAAACCCTCATCCCTAAACTCTAAACCCTAAACCCTCACCCTAGCCTGGCAAACCCTGAACAAGGCGGCACCCGGCCACCTCCGCCGGGCGACCTTCGGACCACTGGTGCCGGGTTCCCCAGAAAGGGCAGACCAAGGAAGTTTGGGATTCCTTGACGGGACGTATAGATCTAAGGGTTCCCTTTAAAGGGTTCCTTTACAGGGCTATTACAAGGGATCTATAAGGTTAACGCGCTTTTTTTCTTTGGTAGTTTGGGCTGCTTCAAGGTTTGTTTTAAGTGGCAGGCGTGGGACTTGTGAGTATGAGCTAGTTTTGAGGCCTCAACAAACGATTCCTTACAGAGGTCCAAATCTGTGCAACTTCAAGCGCCGAAGGAACTGATTCAGAACAAGCTTGCCCGACCGGGGTTTGGAGATGTTGTTCTTCTGGGGGATGTTGTAGCAGAAATGCTGTCGAACAGGACGTTACTAGCCCCCCCGCTTCCCCCCCTCCCCATAACAAGTACTCCGAGTATGGATGTCGGACGCAAACCCTGAACACACAGAGGAGAATGGGAGGGAAAATGAGGCGCACCGACCATCTATAAGGGTACTAGGGACCTTACTAATTTGAATGGGACTTACCATGATCCTCTAAGTACGGGATGTATAGTGATCTAGCGGAGCTCCATGAGGGTTGTGTAAGGATTTCAGGGCCCAGGGTTTCAGGTTTAGGCTTTAGGGCTTGAGGGTTTGGGGCTTCGCAGCCAAAGCATGGCAAATATCCCAAACCCTCAATCCTAAACCTTCAACCCGAAGCAGAAATTAAACCCTCACGCCTCGAAGCCTTCAGCCCTCAACCCTAAACCCGCAGCCCTCAACCCAAATCCTTATAGAACCGTTATACAGGTGCTATACAGCCCTTAAAGGAGCTCGAAACCCTTAACTAAAGGAGCCCTGAAAACGTTAGCCTTTAAAGGGAACTCCAGAAAGTTGGAATATGGTTTCAGGGTAGGATATCCTATAATTTACCATAAAGGGTTTAGGATAATCATATTCCAACTTTCTGGCTTTTACCTACCCTTAATAGAGCTATTCTATACCCATTATATGGCCCATTATAGGGTAGGGGTCCCCATTAAGGGTCCCTCCTTCCAACTTTCTGGCTTTTACCGTAGCCCGAAGCCCCAGATCCCATCCGTTCGAGGAGCCGTTAGCTCTAAACCGCCTGAACCCCAAACCCTAAACCCGATACCCCCAGGTTTAGGGTTTAGGGTTTAGGGTATAAACCCCAAGCTCTGAACCCTATAATTACCCCTAAACCTTTGACCCTAAACCCGAAAGAGGCCCCGTAAAAAAAAAAAAAAAAAAACAGCCGGCCGAGGTTCGACGATGGGATGCCGGCGCCCCTCACGGCAGCTCTGAGAGGCGAAGTCGGTGGACACTTTGAGGAGGGTTTCGGGTTTAATATAGGGTTCTCTTCAGGGGAACCCTAAACCCTAAACCCTAAGCCCTAAACCCTAAACCCTAAACCCTAAACCGTGGGGTCTGTAAGGGTTACTATAAGGGATTGAGTTGACTTTAGGGTTGAAGGTTGAGGGAATAGGGTTGAGGGTTGGGGGTGTAGGGTTTAGAGTTTACGGTTTAGGGTTTAGGGCTAAGGGTTGAGGGTTTCGGTTTTTACGGCTTGGGTTTTAGAGTAGAGGTTTAATGTTTAGGGTGTGGGGATCCCGCTCAGGGCTGAGGGTTTAGGGTTTTTGGGATGTACTTAAAAGGATGGTGTCGAACTGACCGTGTGGGTTTAGGGTTTAGGGTTTAGGGTTTAGAGTTTAGGGTTTAGGGTGTAGGGTTTCAGGTTTGATTGGGCGAAGAGCTTTTGCAAGCCTCGGCCTTCCAAAGCGTGCTTGTTTTTGCAGTTCCTTCGGGGTTTGAGGGATCTTTCGTAATAAGATGGCGTTGGGGGTTCCCCTGAAAGGATTCCAGAAGGTTTTCAGTGGGGCTCGGGGTTTAGAGTTACATGTAGGGGTTTGAATAATTCGTGATAGTACTTTCTTAGAGCCACCCCTACGCTGTGCCCAGAAGCTTACTCTAATTCTCAACGCCCCTATACTCGGGACTGTTGAACCATGGGGGGAGTATTTTTTTGACTAACCTTCCTGAGATAAATAATCCTGTTGTCACGAGTTTTCCCAGATTGCTGGCAGATGCGCCGCCAACGTGAAACCACACCCGCGAAACCCCATCGAGAGGAGACGCAGGGGAAGATACGCAGGGCGTACGGCGTAGCCACGACCAGCTCTGCTTTAGAGTTAAGAATAGAGCAAGTGAGTCCAGAACTTCTTTTGTTTCTTTCCTTCTTAACTTAGTTTGTGTTTGGTACGAGTAGCTCGGTCTCAGTGCTCCGGCATTCGGTTAGTACTCTCGCCACGGGGAATGGTCACACCACAAGGAGTCATTCTGAACCTACTTAAAGGCTCATGGGACTTAGTAAGTAAGGTTATAAGTAGGTTATAATTAGGATAACCCCACTTAGGGGACTTATAACCCCAATTCTAACCCACTTACTAAGTCCTATGATCCTCTAAGTAGCTTCGCATTCCAGACGATGGCGAGTGCCTCCACGGGGGCTGCCCGGAGTGCGACTTTGGTCCGAGTCGCTGGTCTGGCCCTAAACCCAAAGGCTCCATGTACCCATATCGTAGGTACTTAGGCCTTAAAGGGGTCCCTATATAGGTACTTTGAAGGCCCGCACAATGGCATCGTAGCTGCCAGGGCCGCCATCTAGGCCCACCTTCTGGCCAAGCACGATGGCATGACAGAGGGCCAAGCCGGCTCTTTGGCGAAGCTTCAACGTAATTAAGCTCACAAGGTCAAGGAGGGATTGCAACCGTGAACCTTGTCGACTCGATGATCTCCTACCCCGGATCGACAACGCTCTCGGGCACCGCCCATGCTATCATCTTGCCTTTGGTTAGTCGGGAATGGAAGAATGGTAGTAATAATGTTATAGTGGTACCCCCTTCCTTCATTCCCTACTAACCAAAGATAAGTAATCTCGTCGACCATCCTGGGAGAAGCCTTGTTGCCTCAGCAATGCGACTGGACTTGGAATTCTGCAACTGGCTATCCGGCGCAGGACCCGCGAAGCGCGGCAAAAGCGTCGCCAGACTTTACACCGACTCTGCGACACGGGATCGGCCCCCTTAAGGCAATCCTTGCAGAAATCAACCCTAAACCCTCAACCCTAAACCCTCAACCCTAAACCCTAAACCCTCGACCCTGAACCCTCATCCCTAAACCCTAAACCCTCAACCCTAAACCCTGAACCCTCAACCCTAAACCCTCAACCCTAAACCCTAAACCCTAAGCCCTCAACCCTAAACCCTCAACCCTAAACCCTAAACCGCATGAAGGCACCTCTTCTAAGCAGAGAGCGCCTCAGAGAAGCCCCAAGCATGGTGGGAGGTGCCGGACTGGCCGTAGAGGTGCTGTCCGAGGCGGCGCTACCTTGTTGAGGGCTCCTTTTTTTAAGTGAGGGCCTTTAGGATTTAGAGTCGAGGGTTGAGGGATTTGAGTCCGAGGGCTTTTAGGCTTCTAGGGTTTAGGGCTCCTTCATGAATAAGAAGCAGAATGTTCGAGGCTCCTGATGAGATAGAGAATTGCATTACGTAACGGTCTTTTTCCTTACTGGCCCTAAACCCTTTGTAAGCTCTAAACCGTACAACCTAAACCCAACTATGGGGTCCTTTTAATCAGCATCTTTTTTTCGTTTGTCGCGTCCCGAAGCCGAGGGCTGTGAGGGCTCTAGAAATGTTGAAGGTACGTATCGGAACTTACAGCACAGAGCAGGCACACAAGACATGGTTGCACGAATTACCCGTCATGCCCTGCATCCGAACCAAGGGCAGCAAGGCTGCAAGAGTCTGACAACGGCCCCAGCGCGCTGGACAAAGAGAGTGGTCGGTCTTGGCTTTAGTTCCCACGGTGGTCTCGTCTCGCTGCACAACAACAATGCCTTTTCCTCCAGTCCGCATGGTGGAAGCAAGTCTAAGCTAAAGAAGGCATGAACAAGGAACGCAAGATCAATGATGAAGAAGTTCAGGGTTCACCCGGACAAGACCGCGGCCAGGCTGATGTTCCAAGCTTTGCAGCCTGAAGAGCTTCGTTGTTCCCGCATGTTGCAGCAATTCTGTTCCAGCGCAATGACAAGCTGTAAGGTTTCAACCAGCGTTCTTTCAGGTTTTCCCAGAGGCTCCACACATAGTACCATTATGGAATTAGGTCCCAAAAGACCATCCATATCATGGCTTTTGGGACCTAATTCCATAATGGTACTATATGTGGAGCCTCTGGTTTTGTGAGGTTTGTAGGAGGAGTTCAGGGTTGCGTGAGTACGTAATGCTACAAGCACGGGTCCTTCGGGCTTTAGGGCTTGGTAAGGACTTTGTTAGCTAGGATGCAGGGATCTATAAGGGTTCCTTAAAGGATCTATATAAGGGTTCCTTAAAGGGATCTATAAGGGTTCTATAAAGGGTTTAGGGTTTCCGAAAATTAGGGGCTAGGATGCCCAGTAGTACCCTTATTCCCTTTTTGTAGTCCTAGGTTCCTTATAAAGTTACCCAATACCAAAAAGAGAGGCCTTTTTATTCTTAGGTTACTGGGTATCCTAGTTAGAGTTTGAATATCGGGTTCTCATGCAGAGGATCAAGCGACTTGGTAAGTAGGTTGCAGGCAAGGTAGACACAGCTTGCAGTGACTCGTAGCCCCAAGTAAGGAACTTATGTCAACAGAACCCTTCAACGGAGCCGTTGCAACGTCGTTGAACAGCTTAAGAGAGAGCGAGAGAGAGATCGTTTCGCAAGGCAGACACCCACGCAGAGCAGTGCTTTAAGCAAGACCCTCGGAGACTGTCACAGGACGAGGTCGTGTGAGTTTGGGGGTTTAGAGCATTCAGGGCTCAGGCTTCAGGATAATTTAGGGTTTCGGGTTTTGGGCTGTATGGCGTAACGTTTTAGAGTTTGAGGGTTTTGGGGTGTAGAGTTTGCGATTTCGGGTGTGGGATGTAGGCTTATTTCAAAACTGGATTCCGTGGAGTGCTCATCCATGCCGCTGGCCCGAGCACCCCTCAGCGCCCTAAACCCTAAACCCTAAACTCTAAACCCTAAACCCTAAACCCTAAACCCTAAACCCTAAACTCTAAACCCTAAACCCTAAATAGCCTTAGAGGTTTCAAGGCGAATACGCTTAAGGGCCTGAAAGGATCACTGCAAGGGTCTGTCAGGGTTACTACAAGGGTCTTTAAAGGTTGCGGTACGGGGTACTTTTCGTCTCTATACAGGTTGCCATATATATATATATATATATATATATATAGACAGGGTTTGGGGTTTAGGGTTGTGGGTCTGCCAACTGGCACAGACATGGCTACGCTCTTTTCTGCTGGAAAAATCTGTCTTGGAAGGTTGCTTAGGGGCGTCAGCTACTCCGATCAACCAATCGGAGCGCTCAATAAGAGTTGGTTTTGACATATGAGCGTAGATTCCAGTACGTATGCTGTGATCTGTCAAACTTGGTCCCCGGGGTTCTGCGTCGACGGCAGTCGGTCGGATTCTGTGCAACTGAACTCAAAACGGAAGCAATTCGAACCGATCTACGAAGCCACGCCTGCTTTCCGAGTGGCCTGGGCAACGGCGGACAACGTAACTGACGAAAGAAACGACGTTACGAACCTAGATGACGTCAACACCCCTCCCGACAGCCCATGCGGGGACGAAACTGGACCATGAACGTGTGGAAAAGTGGCTGAAACAAAACCCTCAAGTCGGCCCCAGACCCGAAACCCTTTAATCCCAAGACTCAAGACCGTAAACCCTTAACCGTTAAACTCCCCCCCTCCATGATTCACTCTGCGCGGGCCCTGCATTCTGTAGCAAAGCGTTAAACCTTATACGACCCTAAAGCACGGAACTCTTAAACCATCCTAAACCCTAAACCCCCAAACCCTAGAAAACCCTAAACCCTAACCGTAGGGTTAGGTTACCCTAAACCCTAAAGCACTGAACCCCCTACGGTGGATGGACAAAATCCTGCATTACCCATAAGAAGGAATATACCATAATTCCCATAGTTTAGGGTCCCTAAGGTGATGCAGGATTTTGACCATCAACCGTATCACAAAAGGGCAGCCATGCCGGGCCCAGGCTGGTTGTCAACTGCCAGAATGCACTGAACGCCCTTCGAGGCCTGACAAGCCCTGCCAACCCCAAACCTACACCCCACACCCTATATAAGCTTAAGCCCAATACCCTAAACTCAAAACCTTGTGTACCAAGTTTAAACAAATCAGAACCCTAAAACAAAGCCCGCTTAGTGTTCGGGCACAGGATTTTCTAGGGGAAAGCCCGAACTTCCCCAACTCAAGCCTTGCACAAGCCGGACGAGCCCCGCATAGGTACAAAACCTACCTCAGGAGGTTGGTAAGCGCTGCAGCCGTGTGGGCGGAAATATGTATGTATATGTATGCACTCATACGAGCGCTCATGTGTTTTTGTACATTATGTGTATTTATACCGCAATGAGGGAGTTGACCTTTATTGGGGTGCGGCTACGTGCTCGGTCTATCACCCACAAAGACCTTACAACCATCCTGCAACAACCCATACAGGACCCGAGATGGCCCGAGATGGGACGTTTATTCACCCTGAAAGCATGAAATTCCACTTCCACAGGACTTCAACTAAGGAGTCTGCCTTAGTCTTGAGAGCTTTATACTATGATTTAAGGTGGTATGATTTAAGGTGGGTTCCTGAATTAGGAGTATTTGATGTTATTTGGGCTCCCGGGGTGCTACGAGGCTGCCCTTTGGTGGAGGCCGCCCAAGACCGCACGAGAGCCCAGCGTATCTTGTATTTCGAAGGGATTGCTGCCATCCCGCTAGCTTGGCCCAAGGATAGGTCGGGTGTTGTAGGCTTTCTTGGGGTGATATACGGCTTACTATAGAGGCCCTGATAATAAGAATAGGGTGTAGGGTTTGTGATACAACAGAAGCCGGAAAGTTGAAGCATCACTAATTTCATGCCTTCAAAGTAAAGTAACTGTCTTGCATGGGTCCACCTAAGAACATGTTTCAGAAACTTTCCAGTGCCAACTTCGTCAATTGTCAGGACAAGTCTCATCGTCACTGTCGTCCGGCACCCTCGTCCTTGTTGTCGTTTGGTTTAATGCCATACAAGATCTATGGTAGAAGCTAGAAAGTTGGAACATTGTTTGCTGTAGGGGGGAAGTGCAAGGATCCCATATACTTTACCTTAAAGGCATGAGGACAAGGCCGTTCCAATTTTCTGGCTTCTACTACGAGCGCTACAGGCTCTGTTGCTTCCCCTCTATAACCCAAAGCCTTGACATAATCGGTCCCATATGGGAGTTTCCGAAAATTAGGGGTACCTTATTTGGGGGTCCCTATAACAAGGATCCTGCTATTTAGGGTGCCATTTTCGGGTCCCCTGTTTTCGGAAACTCCCATATTCAAAGATGAGCCAGTCGACTCAGCTCAGGGATGCTATGCACAGTAAGTCATAGGTAAGTGTGTCGTTTCCCCTAAGACAGTTTGTGAAGGAACTTGTATGGGAATCCGTTTTAAAGAAGCCTTCAGAATCGCTTAAGCCCTTGGTTGAACAAGAACCCTTAAAACTTAAAACCTTCAAAGGGCCCTTTAAAGGAACCCAGAAGGATCTCTTAAACACTTCAGGGAACGTTCCTGTTGAGGCTCCAGGAGGGAAGTCATTAGCTGGGTTCTTGTTAAGGAACTTAATTTAAGTTACCATAATAAGGAAACCCTATTATTTACGATAGATCCCTATTATGGTAACTTAAATTAAGTTCCTTAACAAGAACCCAGTTAAGGGTTCCTTTAGGGACTTAAGGGCTGAAGGTTCTTTTCAACCCTCAAGCGCTAAAGGGAAGCTGTAAAGGAACCCCAAACAGCACGAACTCCCAAACCCTAAAACCCTAAACCGAGAGGAAACCCAAGAAGCCCGAACTCCCAAAACACCGTATCAACCGACAAAAGCGCCAAACCCTAAACCCGTAACCTGTGCAAGCACCAAAAAGCTCGAAATCCTAAAAACTGAACCCCGCCCCCTTAAACCGAAAGGGAACACCAAACCCTAAACCCTGTACCCCGCCCCCTTAAACCAAAAGGGAACACCAAACTCTAAACCCTAAACACTCCCAAAAAGCTCGAAATCCCACAGCCGAGGCCTCTACCGGGAGCTCATGGCAAGCGCCTGGGAGGAAGCGACGGAGGTGCAAGGCTTCAAGGATCTTCCAAACTTTACTATGAGGAGTACAGGGTTTAGGGTTTAGGGTTTGGGGCATGAGGTTCATGTGGGGGTTTCCGAAAATTAGGGGTCCCTTATTCTGGGGTCCTTATAATAAGGATCCTGCTATTTGGGGTACTGTATTCGGGTCCCCTATTTTCGGAAACTCCCATGTAAAGTTCTGTAAGGTTTCAGCAGGTTTTTGAGAAGGTGTCATCGATACATATCATTATATTATAACATGCTTATGGGGGTCTGTATGAGGTTTTGCCAGTGTTCAGTGTGGTTTCATGGGTAAATCTGGGGCTTATGGTCTTTAAATAGATGTTTAGCACGGTTTTATAGACTAAAGCAATTCTATGGATAGTTAGTTTGTGCTGTCCCACGGCGGATCCTGGTGGACACAGTGGAGCACGGCCGCATCATGGGTTGGCCTGAGGTGGAAGCGCTTTCCCACGACCCCGACCGCCAGCTTGCATCCAAACCCTAAGCCCCCAAACCCTTCATTTTGAATGCCAGCTATCGCCAGCTAGCCCGTGTGGAAGTCCATCTCCCGTGCAATTGTCTTTTAAGCCGCCCAAGGTTGGAAGTGACCGCTGCATCGCAGTTGCAATCGTGGGCTCAGCGCTAGGCCCACAATCTTCGACTCTAAATCCTAAGCCAAATCCAGTACCTGTCCAAGTCTCAAAGCCCTCCACCCTACACCCTGAATCCCTAAACCCCAAGCCCTTAACCCTCAATCCTACAACCCTGAACCCTAAACCGTAAACCATAAAGCCATCAAGAGGTGCTCCGCCGAAGTGGCCAACCTCTCCGGGGCACCATAAATGGCACCTCGGCCATTCCGGCTTAGATAAGGTTTTCGAGAGGTGTAGAACGTCTTGTAAGGGTTCTATAGGATTCTATGGTCCATGGGTTCAGGATTGTTGGGTATAGCGTTTGGGGTTTGGGACTTCCAGCCATGTGGAAGTTCGGGGGGGTGGGAAGGTTCAGGGTTCGTGGTGCAGTGTCGGGGATTTAGGCTTTGATCGTGGTGCTGTCTGAGTATTTCGCACGATCTTCAAAGCGTTTGACAAGGTTTCTGTGAAGCAGGGTGCAGGGTGAAATGACGGGTTTTGCTTTGGCATGCCCGGCTAGCGTTCAGGACCAGCAGGACATTCCGGCACATGAAGGGTTTAAGGACCATTTCTCGAAATGTGTTGCAGTGCACTGAGGCTTTGCAGCGGTCTACGAACTTCTAACAATACGAAGGTCCCTACAAGCCCTCAGCCCGTAGCCCAAGGCATGTGTATGGAGCACGAGCCTCCGTATATACCCCTCTGATAAAGCATCCTGAAACAAAGGCATTCCCAACACTTAAGCCTTCGACAGCCCGATAAAACCGCAAAACCCTAGGCTCCAAAACCCAAGTTGTAATATCCTTAAGGGAGGGGGGTCCAAGGGGGGTAAAATATATATATATATATTCCTTACACCCTCCCCCCTTGAACCACCCTCCCTTAAGGATCCTATAACCAAGGCATGCCGATGGATCGGTACCTCCGAATCCTTCGGCTTCCAAACTTCGCCCTCAACGCGGTGAAGCGCAGCTCGGGTGCTAGGACCTGGAGTAGGCCCTTGTTCCCTTTTTTAGGGTTCAGGTCCCCTTATAAGCCGCTTTAAACCAAAAAGGGCACCCTTTTTGTTCCTAGGTTAGTCTTGGGTCTAGGGTGGATGGTGCCCTCAGTTGGTTCACAAGCGTAGGCTTGTTGTTGGATCGGCGTTCATAAGGGTTTTTAGTGATTTCATAGGATTCCGCTCAGGGTCCTTGACGAGACACCTAAATCCTCAAGCACAGCACAAGTTTCAGGCATGGAGCGAGTTTTGCAGGCTTTCTTTAGGGTTTTGTGGGTTTTGCCAGATGTTTCGACGGATACGAGTAACAGTTTCAGGAGTGTTTCACAGGGTCGAGAAGGCTCCTTTCAGGATTTGTTGGATTCTTCAGATCACCCAGACGAAGTACATATGTACCCTTTGTATTTGGGGATCCTCTGATTGAACCGCTAAACCCTGCTGCTCAAGCTGCGGTGGTGACCGAGTTTCGCAACATACTCGTACTTGAATCGGAAGGCGGTCGTCAATCATCGTGAAGTGTACACAGCACAGCCACCGCACGTGCTTCCCTCGTTGCAGTAGGCATATTTTGGGATGGAACGGCAACATCAACCTGGGCATTGTTCTGTCCGGCGGAACCACGGTGTGGGTTGCCGTTACTTAATGGCCTTGTAGTTGTTTACTTTGCCGAACAAGGGTTTGGCGACCTACACATGTCCGCTGTGGTACCTAAACCAATAATGAAATCCTAAAGCTAAAAAGCATGGAAACTCCAAAGCTCTGAACCGCCATAACACCTGAGCGCTAACTGCTCAGGTCTGAAATCCGGACTTGCTCCCGATCCCGGGTACCACTCTTCCATGTGCCTCAGCACGTGATTCTTTGGGTTTGGGTACAGACCCCTGATGAATAAAGCCCCCCCTCTTGAAGGACCCAGAAACTTGCATCTTAACATAGTCCCTAGAAACCGGCGAGAGTTCATTCATCAGCGGCCTACATCCCTGTGTTTGGAGTTGAGGCCTGGGTGTTTTGAGTGTTAAATGCTTGGAACCTGCGATTAAAAGTTTTGTGGTTCAGGACTCCTGCCATGAACCCAGAGACTCCAATACTCCTTAATTAAGGAATATTCCTTAAATCATAATAGGGATCCTATACTATAATTTCAGGAATATTCCTTAATTAAGGGATATTGGAGTCTCTGGACTAAAACCATCTGGTGGTTGTTGGCTGGTCATGAACCCTGCTATAAACAGAAGCCAAAGCCTGCACACAGCTGCTACGGCCCAACCTCCCTCCTCCGATTGAAAAAGTGTCAAGCCGTGTTGCCTGCACAGAAATTTCTGTCCCCTCAGTCGAAACCTTCAACTGAAAGACACGCCCAAAGCCCAACGGTTTTGGGGCCACGAGGTTCTATGATCTGGAACAGCGCCGGCGCACGGAGATCGAGGAGATGACTGATGTGTGGCTCTTTGGGTTTGGTTTCTGGTTTGCAATGATAAGAGTAAAAAGCACAAGCATGATAACACTTGTACGAATGTTATTCACGGCAGTAAGTATTGCAGTACTAGCGTTAGTGATAATACTTATATGCTACAATAGCAATGCTACTGATGATAATAATGGTAGTCGTACGAGTAAGAATAATGAAGGAAGTTAAACCAAGAAAGCCCCGTTTGAGGGGGTTCGGGGGTGAACCCTAAACCTTACTCGAGAAATAGTTGGGGTGGTTGGGGCGGGACTACATGCTAATGCAAGCGCACGATAGGTGGGTGCGCCCTTATGCCTAAAGTATAGTAAACGAAGCACACACCGCGTGCACACTGTGCACACACCCTAAACCCTACCTGTACACCTGAGAGCCCCGTACCCTCAAGCTGTAACTTTGCAAAGCTCTTCTACGAAGCTCAGCTGGTCTAGGTTTAGGGCTTAATTAGGGTTTGGGGCCCGTCTACGGTCTCGGGTTGACATCAGGAGTTGAACGGGCTGGTGGCGACTTGGACGCAAGCAGGGGCTCTTTGTTTGGTTGTGCAGGGACGTGGGGCTAAGGTTATACCCTTAAGGAGCTGCAAGGAACCCCTAAATGAGCCTGAAGCCCCGAAGACACTTTCCACGAGGTGAAAATGGCGGCCGCCGTTGGGGTGCCGTGCCCTGTGAACACCGCCTTGGCGCGCTTAGAGCCTTGGACTTTTTCACTCCGGGCTTTCCATGGGCCAGGGTATGAGGGGTTTAGAGTTTAGCGTTTAGGGTTTCTTTTTGAGCTTAGGGTCTGGGGCCTTGCAGCTAGGTCAGAGGTTAGGGTGCTGACAACTCTGTAAACGCCGAACCCGTCGTAGCCCGTACGCATCTCTGCAATTCGGCGCTATACCCTTAGCCACTAAACCCTAACTCTAAACCCTAAAACCTATACCCTAAACCCTAAACCTAAACCCTAAACCCAAAACCCTAAACCCTAAACCCTAACTCTAAACCCTAAACCCTAAACGCTAAACCTAAACCCAAACCCTAAACCCCTCCGTTTTGGAGGTGAGAGAGGCCGAGGAGAAGAACGTGGGGAGCCCTCGGCTGAGCCCCGAGGCCCTGCCCTCAGCCAGGGGGCCTTCTGGGCACGGTTTAGGGTTTAGGGTTTAGGGTTTAGGGTTTAGGGTTGAAGGTCTAGGGTTTAGGGGTTTAGGGTTTAGGGTTTAGGGTCTAGGGTTTAGGGTTGAAGGTCTAGGGTTCAGGGCTTATTTTTCAGGGATTAGGGTTCAGGCTTCAGAGTTCAGGGCCCAGGGTTCAGAGTTCAGGGCCCAGGGTTCAGAGTTCAGGGCCCAGGGTTCAGAGTTCAGGGCCCAGGGTTGAGGGTTTAGGGTTCAGGGTAAAAGGATTCCGTATGGGTTTTTAAGAGGTTCTATAAGGGCTCTGTATGGATATTTTTTTTGCTGGCCCCCGGTGCCCTCGCCTCGCATCGCCTTCAGAAGTTTGGACATGCGTGCTTGTCGATGTCCGGTGGTCGTGTGTTCGTTTGTTACGTCTCCCTCTGATACTTCTTGACAAGATTTGGGAGTTTCCGAAAATGGGGGACATTAATGTAGTACCCTAAATAGTAGGATCCTTATTATAAGGACCCCAAATAAGGTACCCCCTAGTTTTGGGAAACTCCCATTTGAAAGAAACAGTTAAAAGGACCCCTAAGCCAACCCTTGCAGGAGATCGCCACACTCTTACACCCAGACCCCGGGGAGGATCTAGAAAGTAGATCCCCTAATTTGGGGCCCTATACTACTAAGGGTACTTTATAGGAACCCCCATTAAGGGATCTACTTTTTGGATCCTCCTGGGGGTCTGGGCAGGGAACCCTAAAACCTCCCTCTTCGCCAGGCCCTCCTTCGGGAGGTGCGTAAAGAGGTGGGGCACGCGCTTGCCTGCTTTCATTAATCCAAGAAGTGGCGTGAAGATAGTATTTAGGGTACTGTATAATTATTAAATCCCCTATTTTCGGAAATCCCCGATTTCCGGCATGGTTTCGTTTCGTCAGGTTTTCTAGGTGCTTTCGAGGTTTCAGTTCACGAGCCCTTTGAGGGGTTTTCGGCTTTGGAGCATAGGGGCTTCGCAGCTTAGAAGCGTTGGTTGAACTAGTGTCATCAGAAGGGTTACCGAAAGGGCATGATATAGGGACCTTGATAGTTAGGTGGGTTAAGTATACAGATCATATACTTAGTGCTTTAGGATTTAGGGGTTTAACGGACGGAACAAGGTTCTGATACGAGTTATTGTCAAGTTTCAAGTCTGCAAGCTTGAAGCCTCACTAATTGGGCTGGGGTTTGGGGGTATATTGGATTGTTATTGTATAGGTACTATAACGGGGATTCTGCTACAAACAGCTCATGCTTCCATAGCCTAGCCTGTATCACCTGCAGCCCCAATCATGTCCTGGGTGCCAGTCATGAAATCCTGTTCAGTATGAGAACACCTGCAGTCCTTTCGGTTATCGGTGCATTCTAGGTATTCTAAACCCTACACCTGACAGGGCGAAGCTGTTTCCGATTGAGTCTTATGGTTTGTGTGACAGCACCGTGGAGGATTTCTGCACCAGGATCTTTGCTTGTACTGTACGGATTTGACCGATACCCTTCGGTCGAGGGGTCACGGACCACGATCCAGCCGAAGTCGTCCAAGGGCCGAGGGATCCCTCTTGACGAGCTGAGTAGGTGACTAGGGCCTAGGGTGCGTGGAGAGACCATATTTTTCTGTGAGCTTTCGAAACCTACTGTCTTCAGGTTGCCAATGGAGTGGAAACTGCCCTTCAGTCCAGAAAGCGGCTTCACGTTTCGCGAAAGACACGCGAAGGGAGTTGGTCGCGTGATTGTGAATAACCCGATGGTGCCATCCTGGAAGCATGCGCCCCTAAGCTGCCAATTCAGCGACAAACGTTGATGGAGCTGTGTAACTTTAGCTCCTGAGGCCTTTCCCCCCTTCCTTTGCGAAGTGGGCTGAACTTTTCCATACCGAAAAGATACCTTGTTCATTATTCCGACACCCTAAACGCTAAACCCTCAACCCCAAAACCTTTAGCCCTAAAGCCTAAAGCTTAGCTGCTAGACCCAAGAGTCTTTTGAGACGGAAGACTGTAGTCTCCAGCAACAACTGTCGCGACTATACCCTGAACGATACATCTTCGGGCCTGGTCTGGGTGTTAGGGGTTTAGGGTGTTACGGGTTTAGGGGTTGAGGGATTTAGGGTGTAGGGGTTTAGGGGCTTAAGGGCTGTGTTTAAGGTTTAATTAGGTACATCCCCTGCATCCTCAAACCCCCAAGAACCTCATTATGACCTACTTGTATCCGTCCTGAAGCAAGTAGTTTGAAGGGTGCGGGCAAGCCCTAGCCCTATACTTTAAACCTTCAAACCCTACGTTAGACGGTATACGGTATACGTAATGTCGTCTAACATATCTCTCCTAACATTTCGAACATTCCCGATGAGGTCCTGCATCTACACCGCCATCGTACGCCCTAAGCGCCAATGGACCACACAGACTTGGAGATGTACGGATCAAGCGCTGGAACCTTCAAAGCCCAATCCCCTTGAAGCCCTACATAAAGGCTCATGGGACTTAGTAAGTAAGGTTATATGTAGGTTATAATTAGGATAACCCCACTTAGGGGACTTATAACCCCAATTATAACCTACTTACTAAGTCCCATGATCCTCTAAGTAAGGGTATGTTATTCACAACAACCTCCAGACAACAAATGTACACGGATTTTTTGAAGGAAGTCAGGCAGGTATGAGCGTTTAACAGGGGTCTCGGGCTTAGGAATACTATAGGGGCCTTATTCATTACTTGTACCATTTTGGGGGCTCCTTATTAAAATCGTGGAATAATCTACCCCAAAACAATATGCTAGTTATTTAGGCCCCTGTATCGTAGTACCCTTATAGTATTCTTATCGTACCCCTTTAAAGGAACCCTTTAAACGGAACCCGATTCTATTTGCCAAGGCCCCTACTTAGAGGATCATGGGACTTAGTAAGTAGGTTATAATTTGGGTTATAAGTCCCTTAAGTATAACCTACTTATAACTTTATGAACCTTTCAGTATTCCCTTCGGAGAACCAAACGAACCCCTAAGCCCTAACCCCTAAACCCTATACCCTAAACCCTAATATTAACCAGAGAAAGCTGCCGGTCGGAGGCTCCTGTGCCCGGAGCCGCGCCAAAGCGGACGAGTGCCCTGTCGCGCTACAGTGAAGTTTAAAGTTTATAGGGTTTGGGGTTAGGGTTTGGGGGTTAGGGTTTGGGATTTAGGGGTTTTACAAAATTTGTTTTAGAGTTCAGGGTTTAGTTTCATGTTTAGGGTTTGGGGTTTCGGGTCCAGGTTTTAAGGTTTGGGTTTGAGGGGTTGCAGGGTATAGGCCTTTTGGGCTTTAGGGCAACGATCGGGTTCATGGCCTTCGGGTTTAGGACCTTGGTTCCAGGGTACAGGGTTTAGGGTTTAAGTTTAGGGCTTGAAGAATTTGTTGGGTACGTACAGCTTAAAGGGGGGTTGGGGGGCGGGTGGGTGCAGGTTGTAGGGTATTTTGCCCGCTGTCGGGTTTAGGATCTATGGATTTGGGGGCACAAGACAAGGGCGCATCTAGAGGAGAGTCGAGAAATCCTTGCGTCTCTTGTTCAGGTAGCGTATTACCTTCGGGCGCCAGAGAAGGTCTGGAAGGTTTAAGGAACCCTAAACCAAAACCCTAAAGCCTGCACCCTAAAAACCTAAGCCCTAAAACCCTAAAACCCTAAACCCTAATACCCTAAACTTGGTCCAGCCGTGGTTTACTGTCAGGGTGTAGTTTGCTCCCGGATTTACATTGGGGGTTTGGGAAAATAGGAAGAACCCTATTTTGGGATCCTTATAACAATAAGGATCCTGCTATTTACGGTACTATATTAGGGTCTCCTATTGTCAGAAACTCCCATATGCATCCGAAGAATTCTAGAAATTCTGGATATCTTCTTAATGTGCTGTAGAACCGCGTACAACTCTTCACGGCGAAGCTTGAAATTTGGTAAACGCCCACGAACAAGTACGATCAAACGACCTTCAAGTCTATTGTCAAAGCATCCTTACTTAGGCCCTGTAAATCCCTCTGGAAAACCTCTTTGACCACCCCAAGCCCCTCATATCCCTGAGCCCTGAATAAACCCCACAGACCCTAAACCCCAAACTCTAAACCGTGGAGTTGAAACCCTAAGACCTGAACCCCTGAACCCTCCCGGAGGTCCCTTCGCGCGCTTTTGCCCCCAGCGTTGTGCCATGTGAAGCTTCTTGCTCTTCGGCTTGTGGCATTCGGTTTAAGGTTCTACAAAGGGTTCTCAGGGCTTTTGTACAGGTTCTATAATAGACATTTTCCGGTGGAGCCTATCTAAGGGTTCGATCAGGGTTTTGCAAAGATTCTAGAAGGGTGTGCATAGCCTGGACCCTGAACCCTTTCGTTCCGGGGCTTTGGCGTACCGCTTTGCGATTCTGCATATCTAGCTGTTACTGAAGGTTCTTCGTGGAGACTCAACGACTCCCTAATTCCTGGCAGGAAATGCGTTATAGGGACTACCATTGGTGGCCTTAAGGGATTATCTTAGGGATCCACGCTAAGAACCAGGTAGATGCAGGGGGAAAGTTGCATGCTCACTTTTTGCAGCTGCACGACACTGCAACTGCTGCCGTAGATACAGTCTTGCTTCATTCGGTACATGCTGCTACTAGTTGCGAGTATGAGATACGTACTGCGACCGCCTACCTGCATTGCTGGTTCTACTGCAGTGGTTGTCCAAGTGTTGTCTGCCTTTTTTTGTTGTTGCTGCTGATACCGTACTGTTGATCTGTGTGATTCCGCGACTGCCCGAAGCGAGCTTCAACCAGATGATCCCAAAAGCGACGGACTGTTGCCTTCATCCGAGGTGAGTTTCGAGCATCGACCTTTGCGGCCTTCCTGTGAAGGCCAGCCATGTCATCGGTTCGTGCATGAGCGCTCGGCTTCCGGCAAGCATGTGATTGAAGACTCTGGGTTCAAGCTGTCAATCTGTTGCCAAGTGCTGCATGGCGGGCAGACCGTATGCCCGCCCCTGTGAGAATCCCATTCATCGGGCAATGGGGCAGCACATGTTGAACGAGGGCCACGTGACAGCCTGGCTCAGTTGCTTTGACTCTACAGCTGACGAGAAAATGAGGCTGGCTGAGTGTTTGGTGGATCTCTTCCTGGACGGCATTAGCAGCGACTACTATCCTCATGAGGACTGGCAGGCCATCTTCGGCGTTGCAATGTCTGAGACAAGAACGCCTCAACCTACGTCGATGAGAATTGGCGACTTGGTCTTTTGCTGTTGGTGTGAGCTCTACAGGAACAGGCGGTTCACGAAGCATGCGCTGCTCAATGCCATCCTGCAGCATCGACTGCCGCGGTCCTTCAAAGTGTGGGTTGAGGAAGCTTTGGCAGGCAAGCTGCACTGGTCTGCCTACTTACAGGCACTCGCAGCTCGAGATGCCTGGGAACGAGTTCCGTGGGACTACCTCAGCCTCAGCAAGCTCGCGCAAGCTTCATCAGCGCCATCGTTCCCAGCTGCACCTGCCTCGTCGGCGTTGCTCAGGAAGAAGCTTCAAGTCGTTTGGATCAAGGTTCCGCAAGATCCTTTTGCTGATCACACATGTGCATCTGCTGTCAAGCAAGACCTGTTGGTCCAAAGGCCAGCAACATGGAGTGTGATGCAGGACTTCGTGGCAAGAAGCCGTTGGATTCGATTCAGATGTGAGCTGTTATTACTGCTTGGTGAGAACATTGCCCTCTACGCAGAGCCATCGAAGTCCCACTACCCGTCAGGCGATTTGAGGATTCGAAAGAATCCAGCCGCCACCCTCCTCAATTTTGGCAAGGATGTTTCGTCAATGGAGGCCATCTGTGGAAAGGCTCTCCTTGTTCGACCGGATGGCACTGACCTTCTAAAGGAGACCGTGGAGAAAGCATGCTTCTTCATTGACCTCTTGTATGAATTATCAGAGAGTCAAGAGGGAATTCAACTATCCCCGAACCAAAGCATCCGAGAAGAGCAGATTGAGAAAATGCGCCAGGAGTGGCGACAAACGGTGCACATGGCTGCTGCGAGTTGGCCTGCATACCAAGTAGGCGATGCCCTGAATCAAGATGGAACGCTCAAGACTGACAGGCCTGCAGTCCCGCATTCCGGCTCCGAAGAACTACCGGCGGACCATGCTGAACCACCAGAGATGTCTGCTCCAGTTGCAGGCAGTGTTCCTCTGTCGCATCCCTTGCCTCTCAGAAACCAACTCGCAACGACATTCAAGTTGGTCCGCCTGAAGTTCTCGCGCAATCCGACTCCTTTTCACGAGTGCTTGCAGCGCTGCAAGGAGCTTGATGCCTGTCGAGGGGCTCTGGCAGATGCTGGCTTCCAGTGGAGACTTCACAGTGGTGCATATATCTTCGTTCCTGTGGATATGCATGCGGCTGTTCAGGATCAGATCGAGGAGGAAGGTCTTATTCTTGGTCCTGCAGATGTGTTGGTTAGCGAAGAGTTGGAAGGTGCTGTGACAGGCGCAATTTGCTGCCTGCCTCGGAAGCACAAGGTCAATGTTGAAAGCCGCCAGGCGTCCACACTTCCAGCTCAACAGTCTGATCTGACCGCGCAGGAAGATCCATTCCCGATAAAGATTGAACGCACCTTCATCCATGTGAAGATTCCGAGCTCTCTGCGCACTGAGCCTTCCGAAGGGCCACGTACTGCATCCAGCACGGATGCAGACGCCCGGGCCTTGCCTAACCCTCGAAGTTATGTAAAGCCTCGCTGCCTGTAGGCTGTAATCAAGGATGTCGTTGCTGTCCACCTGCTTGTGCCGTCCCGGCATTCGCAGCCGTGCGTGCGTCTGGATGAAGCCTCCACAACGATGATTTTGTTCAGAAATGGATGTACTCCAGATCTTGATCAAGCGCGCATGCTTCGTTCTTAAAGTCCTGGAGTGACCACTTTCAAGATCTTTCAAGCAGTGGCCAGTCCCTTTTTGATGTGATGTTGAAAATGGTCAAGCACCCACCGCATCGTGCGGAGGCTCGAGCACTGAGCATTCTCCCTTGGCATTCGCAGCTGTGCGTCCGTCAAGGTTTGCAGCTTCGACAGCACGTGACCTGCACCGTGCACGTTTTTGTCGCGGTAGGCTTTGTATAGACGCCTAGTGGCCTAGCATGAACCAGGGTTTCTGCAAACTGTAGGCGAAATAGAAAAGGAAAGACCGCTCTTGACCGTTGTTGTCTTGTTGCGGTCCCTACGAGGGTTATTTGCAACTCAAGGCGATGACATGAAGATGAGAATGACATCCGATGTGTTTTTTGAAAGCTAGTCCGGGTCCCTGAAGCCTTCGCTTGCGAGGAGTTGGTGCTCCAATTACCGAGAATCGTCATCGCTAGAGGAACGTAGAGTTCTTGATATTGGCCAGCGGCGCAAAGCCAACCCGGGCTGATGGATGCCCCGTCGTCGATGTGAGCAAGTCTCGGCTTCTTGCCCATCGTCTGTAAGCAACCGATGACCGCCAGCTAAACCGCCCTAAACCCTAAACCCGTGCTCCACAGCCCCCAAGCCCACAAGCCAAAGGCGCTGGAACACGGATCAGAAAGAGCCCTGGCAGGCCCTCCTGGAATCCTCTTCAAATGCCATAAACATAGAACTGCATAAAACTCTACATAACGAATCTTAAAACCCTAGAAAGCCCTATAAAGTCCCATCAGACCACCTCACAATCCATCTTCAAAGCATCCTAAAGGCTACTGGAACGCTTTGCAAACCTATCAGAACCCTTTGACAAACCATAAGGGTGGTTGTCAAAACTATGGTCCCTTTTCGGGTCCCTATTATCGTACGGCACCGATTTTTTCGGGTACACAAAAAGGGGCCTTAATTTTGACAACTACCGACATTTTAGTAACCTTATATATAGATCCCTTATAGTAACCCTTATAGACCCCTTTAAAGGGAAAGCCCTATAGCCCAAATATATATGTACGCTTGTCTCGATGAGACACCCTCAACCTGGCTCTCCCTCAAACCCTCCGCGAGGCGCCTTCGCGCGCTGTTGCCCCCAGCGGTGTGCCGTGTGATGCTTCTGGCTCCTCGGCTTGTAGCATCGGTTTGGGGCTCAGCTGCTACTACCACTGCTGCTGCTGCTACTACTACTAGTACTACTACTGCTAGTAGTTGTTGTGAGACGAGATGCACTGCGACTGCCTACCTTTAATGCTGGTTCTCCCGTGGTTGTCAGTGCCGTTGTCCGGAGCCTTACCTTCATCCTAGGTGAGCTTCGAGCGTCGACCTTCGCCCGCCTTCGTCTGGAGGCCGAAATAGCTCGAGATATTACTTCGTTTACTTTTCGCTTATCCTACATAAAGCTCATCGGCCACCGGTGTTTTCGGCTCTTCGAGTGCAGGATGTGCTGGAAAAAACCAATGCAAACGGCATGTCGGTCTTCGGGCGTTTACATCAACCTCGGAGCCGACAGCAGCAGCAACAACAACAACAACAACCCATTCGACGCTTTTCGTGGATTTGCGGATTTCCACCAATTTCGGCATCTCCAACGGAAAACTGGGGCTGGGTCTTCTGTTAAATTCTGCTTCTAAAATGGGCCATTTAAATTAGGCCGCGGGTGGATCTGGCGGTTCCCTTCATTTCAGCGGCCCTCGATGGCCAGAAACATAGAAAATCCAAGGTTTTTAAAGGATGCCTGCTGGAATCAGGAGCGTTCACCGTCAAACTCTATGATTTTTCGTCGAGTTGCAGCACCGGCGAATGCCACACTGGAAAGCAAACTGTTCGCTTCTGGCCAAAGACGGAGTCCATCAGACGTCTTGTCTGCATTTGTTCGTTTTGCAAAGAAGGCTACAAGAGCGCAGCACGGGGAGGTTGCAGTCTAAAAAAATCCTGGGCTTTGGAGTACCATACTTTAATATTTTTTTTCTTGAAGGAACCCTTATGAAATAAAAGTTTATACTTTTTTCTCCCTGGTTACTTAAAAGCCCAGAATCGGGGGGGTTTGGTGGCGCAGCCCCCTCTTCGGCTTTTGAGGGCGGTCTTGAGGGGGCTTAAAGCTGGTTTCAGAGCTTAAGGCAGGCTTTAAAGGCGGAGCTTAATGAAGGGGGCTTCAAGAAGGGCTCCGCCAGTTTCGTCGTCTCCACCGGAAAATTGAGGCTCGATTTTCTGTTGCCAAGTTCTGCTTATGAAATGTTCCATTTACATTATTAATGCCGCGGGTGGATCTCGGGTGTTTTTTTTTGTCTCCTTGTTGGTGGTGGCGGTGGTATTGGTGTCGTTGTTGTCGGTGTTGTTGTTGTTGTTAGAGAGAGGGAGGGAGGGAGGGGGGGAGGGAGGAGGGAGGGCGAGGCAGGGAGGGAGGGAGGGACGGCGGGAGGGCGGGGGGTGAAGGGAGGAGGGAGAGAGGGGGAGGGAGAGGGGGAGGGAGGAGGGAGGGAGGGTGAGGGAGGGAGGGAGGAGAGAAGAGGGAAGAGAGAAGAGAGAAGAGGGAAGGGAAGAGAGAAGAGAGAGAGCGGGAGAGCGGGAGAGCGGGAGAGCGGGAGAGAGGGAGAGAGGGAGAGAGGCAGAGAAGAGTATACACCGGATGGGACCAGGTGTTGTTTTATCTGATGTTGATGTTACTGTTGTTATTCTTCTTCTTGTCGGTGGTGGCGGTGGTGGTGGTGCTGCTGTTGTTGGTGTTGTTGTGAGAGAGAGAGAGAGAGAGAGAGAGAGATACAGAGAGACAGAGAGACAGAGAGACAGAGAGATGGAGAGATGGAGAGAAAGAAAGACAGAGAGCGAGAGAGAGAGAGAGAGAGAGGGAGGAGAGAAGAGAGAAGAAAGAAGATAGAAGAGAGGGAAGAAAGGAAAGAGAGGAGAGAGAGGAAAGAGAGGAAAGAGAAGAAAGAGAAGAGTAAGGAGATAGATACGAAAGAGAAGAAGAAAGAGAAGAAAGAGAATGAGGGAGAGGGGGAGAGAGGGAGAGAGGGAGAAGAGAGAGAAAATAACAGGGAGATTCAAGACAAGAGAAGGGAGAAGAGGTAGCATAAGGCAGGGCAAAATAGGTTAAAATAGGGTTCATTATATGGGATCGTAAGAAGATGATATCTGCGAATAGTCTCTGTGTGTTCGAAGATATTGCTTTAAATTGACGTATGGTGGTAATAAATAGATGGC